TCCAACTTGCCTCAGTGGTGTATGATTAAATTGTTCAAATTCAAACTTAGGAATCAAGAGAACCTTAGTTCATCTAATTCTCTCAATGTTAATTTATCACATACCTTCATTTTTGCAGGATCACTGGAAACAAGGAATGAGTCAGCACCAAGTCTATTGATTGCTTCAGACTCCTTCTTTGGAGAGCTACTAATGACAGTAACTTTCAGCCCAAAGGCCTTACCAATCTTCACAGCTACATGACCAAGTCCACCAAGTCCTGCAACACCCAAATGCTTGCCTGCCACAGTCATTCCATAATATTTCATTGGGCTGTACACTGTAATCCCAGCACATAATAGTGGTGCACCCGCGTCCATTGGCAAGTTATCAGGAATCCGAAGCACATAGCGCTGGTCAACCACGATCATATCTGAATAACCACCATAAGTTTTTGTCCCATCCGGATAATGAGAGTTATAGGTAAATATCATACGAGGGCAGTAGTTCTCCAGGTCCTGCTGGCAGCATTCACAGGTCTTGCAGGAGCTAACCATAACCCCAACCCCCACCCGGTCGCCCACTTTGAATTTCGTCACATTATTCCCAACTTTTGTTGCAACACCAACAAGTTCGTGCCTGCAGAGCGACAACAGCGTGCATTTTTTATGAAGTTCCCTGCAAAATGTGCTTGGAAGATACCAATGTCTACCAGACCAACTACTCTACTCTACGAATAACTTAATTAGCAACTTAATTGAACAGTTTCAAATCAGCTCTTGCCACTTCAAAATTATAGAAAAAAAATATATACATAGACATTCACAATATTTACTAGACAGATATATAGTTAGCTGCTGCTCTCAGGCTTGTTTGGTCAGCTCATCTCTGTTTTATTTGGAGGGAAATGAATTCTAGAAAAATTGGAGGATTCCGAAAACCGCTGATCCTATTACTCCTCTCATAAAGGAAGCTATTAAACTCAGGCTTTGCAACATCCAGTTTGTTACAACTCTGCAAAATCTAACAGCGAGCCACTATTAGGGACTGCATCAGTTTATTTCAGTTTAATTTCTGTCTTCTGTGATCATTTTGTTTTTCCTTGGTTTGCCGCATGTCTTTTGGTTTTGGAAGCCTGGTTTGTTTTGTAGCAGGACTCCTGCTTTCTTTGGACGAATAGAAATAGCATTTATCCAAGAAAAGGTTATTCTTAGATAGCAACAACAACAACAATTTAGAGGTGATATTGCAGAAGATCAGTAATGCATTGGTAGGATACCAAGTATAAACAGATCCAAGGAATTGCTCTGGGCAATCTTAACATCTGCATGTTTACATGAAGTGAATGCTTTTAATACTGGAATATACACTCAGTTATGCCTGCTTTGGAACATTAACCTCGCTAGCATTGGATCATTAAATCTATCCTGGTAAAATGGAAGTTTGAAACATGGGGAGAGTATTGATAAAATAGTGGTCATTTAGCAGTATTCCACTACCAAAACACAAACTGATCTGGACCAGTGAATGCACTTTTTACAACAACAAGCCAAAACCTGAACCAGTAAATGCACACTGCTACTTAAATATGCTCATGGACAAAAATGCTCAGGGGTTACATAACCCTAAAAGATATTTAAAAACCTTTTATTCTAGGACGTTGCTCTTCCTAATACCCTGCACTAGATATAATTACAAAGACAGATTACTTATGATCAGCCATGTCCTTTCAGAAATAATACATAATCATCTAGCAACATATCAGAGCAGATTAAGCCTCGCCACTTTCAAACACATTAATTGTTAGTTCGTTCAGTTCGCATATATTAGCCTCATAATTAGCAATTGCTAGAGATAAATTAAAGACACATCATTATCATGAGAATATTCATGTTCATATGAGCTAAGTGTCATACCCAGGAATAACAGGTTAATGGGTGAAACCCCATTCATTTCTAACAGCATGCAGATCTGAATGGCAAACTCCACAGTAAAGAATTTTTAAAGTGACATCATCATCACCATTTTCCCTGGAAAAATTTAAAACAACCATCATCACCCAAATTATACAAAAGTAAAGATTGAAATAGATTTATTAATCAATGGTGATCATTATACAATGTTTAACAAACGAATTTCTTCAATCTTTTTTCAAACACCATGTTTAGTGCTGATCATTAGACCTGTTTAGTACCGGACATAGAATTTCTCAAATCTCTCTACTAACAAGTTGAGCTTAAATGTTATTACTGTGGTTTTACCATAGAATTAATATTATTATACTCGTTATTTCTGTCAGGTAAATGGTAAAAAGTCAGGTAAATGGTAAAAAGTCAGTGATCCGAATGTGAGACAAAATCTTTGCTTGTAAATTTTGTATTATGTACACTCAATACTTTCAGATTCAGATCAATTAGCGCATCACTTTCTGTAATTTTATTTGCAAGAAATTTCAATAAACAGCGGCAAAAACTTATAATTGTTGGTGCTAATTATGGGATTCATACGACCACATTATGGAAAACTTTGACATGAATAATAAAATAAAGTTGGATGCAACTGGTCGAACACCGCACGTTGTAGTCATAGATGAGATAACCCAGGAGGGTTATTTTATGAATTTACATCGAACAACCCATGTTAAAGTCATAAATGAGATAATCTAGAGGAGGTTTTTTATGAATTTATATTTAATATATTTTTAATGTAAAAATTTTATATATTATTAGTGAATGAGATAATGATATTTTATTAATAAATAAATATTAAATCTTAAAATAAATAAATAAATTATTCATTAATTAAGTGTTTTGTATAATTCATTTCAGTAAGGTGATATTATTTTTTATTATTATTATAGATAAAATGCAAACTTGATCAATGTTTAATAGTGACGAAGAAAAATTGGTTTTTTTTTTTAAATATTTAGAGAGATGGAAAAAAAAGATTATATTTTCAAGAGCTACAGTAAAGAAAATGGGGAAATAGATCCCTCCATCATCATGGCTCCATGGTTAGCCAATCCATGAGCTACTTCTTCATTGACCCTTCTGTTTACATGATTTTTCCATTTTGTTTGTTTTATCTGTTGACATGATAAAACGTGTACAAATAAATTTAATAAAAGTCAAATGATAATCTAAACCACTAATACTGGATTTATTTATTAAATGATCCCAAAGCTTCATCTTTTCATATTCCTTATATATATATTCTCTAAATCACCAGTCATGTTTATATTCATTGAGGAAATCTTACATTATTTTTAGTTAAAAAATAAAAATAAAACTCAACTACACACACGTGAACACTTGCCAAAAAGTTCATTGAAAAAATCAAATATAGAAACTAGAAAAAAAAATTGTTTTCAGAGGAAGAAGAAGTTACAAGATACGTAGTATATATACCTTCTGGAGAAATTGAAAGGGGAGAGGATTCCAGAGCTATCAGTAGCAGCCCAACCAAAAGCCTTTTGTGTATGCTCTTTCGACATTTCCTATTGCTCTCTCTCGTTTTCTTCTGCTGTTTTGTTTGATGAGTTTTGATGGGTGGAAACCAAATGACCGATTGGGATAATATATATACACAGGAGGAGACAGCCAACGTCTACGTGGTTTACAGTGGCTTCTTTAACCCTGTTCACGTACTCTCTTCCCTTTGTCTTACCTTTTCTTTTTCTTTTTCAAATATATTCCCTTTTTTATAGAACTACCTTCGAAGATTTTGATGAGATAAACTACTGTATTTAGTATTTGACCAAATTTGTGAAAGGCAGAGCAGAAAAGGCAGCTTTGATTGTCATCTTTTTGCTGTTGTTCAATTATTTGCTTCCTTTCTAGGAATGGCCATTAAACTATCCTGATAAAGGGGCAGATGAAATCTTAAATGCTGCTTTGAAGGCTTATAATTGCTCCACAGATCTAACAATTTCGCTGCTTTTATTGTCACATGGGTAAGGAAAATGTTTTGTGCATTAATTTTCATTTTTGTAGAAAAAAGAAAACTATTATCACTTTAAATGCAATGGTTGGTATTTTGATGAGTGTTAGGTTTTGCATACAAAATAGTACATTAATTGAAATTTATAGTGTGTGTTTGGATCGAGGGGAGAAGAAGAAAAAGAATGTAAAGTAAAAAATGTAAAGGAAACAAAATCATTTTTTTTAAAATAAATTTTAATTTTAAAAAATATGAAAACCTCGGTTTCTATTGTAAATTCAATTTTTTTAATATCTTAATTTGGAGAAAAAGTTCGAAAAAAAAAGTTTGAAAAAATTTTTTAATAAAAAGATTATTATATTAATTTTTTTATTAATACTAAAAATTTAAATAAAAAAACTTAAGCAAATCACAATCATTTTATAATTTTTTCAAAACCATTTTTTTTCAAGTAAATTTTACATATATCTTCTAATATACAAATTTTTTATAATCTTTTGGTAATTTAATTTTGATTAATGATTGAATATAAATAAATATATTTTTTAAATTTATAAAATATCAAACTAATTTAAAATCTATCAATGCATGTTTGTAGAACATATTTCGGTTTCACTTGATTAAAAACCATTGATATAACAACAATTATAAGATCAAACAAGATAACAAATATATCATGATCTAAAAATGCTTTAAAATCACAAACAATAAAAAAATATAATTGAAAATAATTATTATAATAAATTTTTTTTCTTTCTTATTCTTTATCAAAACAATAGTTGTTAGAATTTCTTTCCTTAATTTTTTTATTAATTTTAATTATCCAAACATAGCATTAAAGTTTAACTCAAATAATTATTTTCTATATTTTCAGTCTACTACTTCTCTTATCAGAATTTAACTGTCTTAGTCTGCAGTTTTTTCTGCGATTTTAAAGACACTCACCTTGCTGCACTATGACCAAAATGAGTCGCAGAATGGGCCGAAGTCGATTTTAAAGTGTAAAATGCGTTGGTCGAATACACTGGGAAGGCTATATTAGAGAATGAAATAAGATGAACCTGTATGTGCCCTCAGGATGATAATAAATGTTAAAACATTGATGATATTTCCTGAAGTTTATTTGGCTCTCTAGAAAATTATCTTGCTACAAGAGAAAGCAAATTGCATAACAACATGCTACGGGAATTGCATTTATTAACAAGGACTATAGGAGAGGAAGGAAATCTAGCACAATCCCGGATCTGAATCAGCAAAACTTACTCTTGGCACTGATAGATATAATAATTGCATAAACTATTATGTAACTTTCAACCACTTTGAAGGTCCAAAAATTTCTCCAGCATAGCTTGAATGTTGTACCTAAATTAATATAAGTGAGAAGTAAATATAAGAATTACCCAAACGCATGCAAAAAATGCAGAATGAATCATTTTCCCTTCTTTAATATCGTGAGACCATTCACGCCTCCGTTTTTGACTCACTTGATTTACTCAAGCTACCTAATATTCCATTAATGAACTTATCCCTGTCACTCCCCGCTGAGTCTGCAACAAAAGAATAGTTCTTTTGTGACCTTTTCCTCTTTCCATGGTCCTCCAAAGAAGTTTTTGTCTTCATGCCTACTCCAGCAGCATCAGATGGCTTCGCATGGTATTCAGAACAATCAACCAAGCCCTCTGACTTCTCTGAAGTATCCTTTCCATCGTCACCTTCCTTGCTACTGTACCATGAATCAAGGATTTGCAACAATGAGCTGTCTTCCTCATCTATTCCTAGCTTCTGTTGGTGTCCTGATTGCACTAAAGTTGAGATTTCCCCTTCGGAATCTGAAATTTCATCATCTGAGAGAGAAGGTTCATAGTCAGGATATGTCATTTTTGTTTCCTCTGTTCTTTTGCTCCCTAATACTGATTGCACTTCCTTTCTGTTTGAACTTGTGTTGGAAACAGGTCCTAGTTCATCCCATGCAGAGTCAAAATCATCATCCTTTGTTGATGCGTCAGGCAATTCACAAGCTGTGTTCCCTAATGCATGACTGGTATTTTCTCGAATGTTAGGAAAAGCAGTTTCCAGGCCAGAATTGTCTGGAACCATACTTGCAGGAATTATGTAGGAAGACTCTATTTTAATCCCAGGCATTATCTCTAGCAGGGATGCCAACCTTTTGTAACCAAGCCTTTGTATATCAAGAGGATAACCATACCTCTCAAGGAAAAGTTTCCTGAAATTGGCCATATTATATCCTTCAGGGTGTTCCTTTAGTATCACTTTCACAAGTTTTTTACAGTCGGCCAATATCTCATATCTAGAATGATCCGATGATTTCTGATTGATGATGGTAGATGAAACTTCAGAATGAAGCATATTCTGCAAATTTTTCTCTCCTTCCTCTTTTGGCTGCAAGTTTGCCTGTGATGAAGCATGCATAAAGATTGATCTCAACCCATTTGCAGCATGTGAGCGACCCAAATCTGGACTCTTCTCAGCAGCCCTAATGATCCCGAAACGAGGCGTTTGGGAGGGGCATTCTTCAATCCATTTCTTATCGGATATTAACAAATCAACCAATTGAAGAAGATTGGTGTTACTGAGAGATCTAAGCGCCAACGGTCCTTCCTTCAGCAGATTTTCTGCCATCTCTTCCCTGCAAAAGTTTAACAATCACTAAGACATGAATTTGTTTAAAACTCCTTCACATTTTAAGTTGGAACTCAAATTTCCAATTCAATATATTGATTCTGAAACTGCAACAGACTTGCAATTTGAAATAAAATTTGCAGAAATGCAGTGTTTGATCTTCTTATATATTGAATTATGAAAATTGTCAACTCATTGGAAAAGAGAAAACAGAAAATGGCCGCTTTTGATATTCTACTATCTTTTGCATGTAGATACACAGTCCACCATCAACCAACATATAAAAAATAAATGTTGAGGACACATGGACATCTATTCTACCATCGTTTGCGTGTGTTGGTACATGCATGGACAGTAAACAGTAACCCCTGAAGAACTAAATATAAAAAAAAAAAAGGGCCAAGTTCCTAAGTTTGTATATCTCTTTTCTTTTCTGTAAAAAATCGTGAGCATATGCAAAATACAACAATATAAACAAAGCAACCACAATATATGACTAAAGTCAGCAAATCTGTGTTGTTCAACAATTTAACAAAAGTCAATGCTATTCTGGATTCCATCATGAAGGACGGCATACATATAAAAAGCTACAAACTAAGGAAGGAAACAAGCAAACTAACAGATTTTTACCAGCAAGTCATGTGGTAAAACTAGAGGGAAAGAATTAGCAACCTGGTCCTAGACTGTGTGACGAGCAATGATCCCCTAGGTGAGTCCATTATGATTTCCATGTCTTTCCAGAAGGAACCCTGAGTAAAAACCTCATGCTTTAAAGAATTAGTGTTTATTTGGTTGTTCTTTTCGCAGGATTGGTCACTTGATGCCCTAGTGTCTTGGCTACTTCTCCAAAATTTACACCAGTTGGCAATCCGATTAAATAAACCTGACTTCTTTCCAGAGTGGTTTTCACCTGCTTCAGCACTTGCTTTACTGTCAACAGTTGAGCCATTACTTGATGAAGAAACAGTCACTGGATAAGCAACCTCACATGACTTTTCCTCAGACTCTTCATTCATTCCTTCCCTCTCAGAGCTAACCCCAGCGCATTTTTTCTGGGTTTTGTTATTTTGTTTCACAGAGCTACCTTCAGAATCACCATGTTTTTCAGGAAGGTCATGATTTTTTACGTTAGAATTGCCATTGCTACCACCAAGCCATCTTTTCCAAACTTTCCTAAAGAAACTTACATCAGATGCAGAATCTTTTTCCAGCATAGGAGCCCGATGACTCTCAGTTACCTGATCATCGGATGCTTCAGCGATCTTCTGGCCAACTGGAAGGGCCTGTTGGACTTCCTCTGGAGGCTTTTCTGCATTTACTTTAACAAGATTATCAGTTTCTGCAGGGGTTTGTTGTACCTTTCTTGAAGCAACTCCAGCATTAACTTCAGGGAAATCATGCAACCTGGACTTAACATTTAGAGCACCACCAACTGACCTGTCATCCCCACTTGATCTAGAAGAAAAAGTGAGCCCATCTCCATTTCTACAGACAGGTCCTGCAGATAAACATGGACTAGTCTCAGATAGTTCACAAGCTTTTGGGGCAATTCCACGTATAAAAAACTGACCATCACGCTCAAACCGAAGCCTCAAAATGTGTGGCATGGATAAAAGAAAGCGGGAGAACTTTTTATACCCATAAAAGTCTTTATCAAGGCCAACCTTACTTCTGGTCAACTCAAAACGAAGGTCTGAAATGGAAATTCCCTTCGGGTAAGAGTTCAAAATCTGACGAATCTGCTTTGTAACTGTCTCTGGAACTGGCCAAGGCTTAGAATCAGAACCCTCACATACTTCTTTAGTCCGTGGACATGCTGGTTGTTCAACTAAAAATGGGTCTTCCAGAGGCACCTTGTAATGGCCATACCAAGAACCATATGGACCATCAGGAGGTTGATTATAGTGCTTTCCAGTCAGGTTCTCCTCTTTGAGCAGTGCATTCCAATTCCACATGATACTGGCAGCACTGCAAAGAACACTAGGAGCAGAATCTGGACTAGCAAGCAATATGTTATAGTTGTTCATCCGTAATTTATGCAAAACACTAGCGAAGTCCCTGTCACCAGAGATTAAAAAAAGATGTGCTGGAGGAGGATTTTGGGAAATCCAATACATAAGGTCAACCAGAAGTGATCTATCAGCACTGTTCTTTCGACCTGCATTTGTGGCACATTTACATGGTAAAATAACATAAACTGAGACCATTGACTGGAGATTAGAAAGGAAAGGAAAAAAGAACATACAAGGCCTGCAATCCATATTCGCTCCCAAAATCATTTGTGTCATGGTGACACTTCATAATAGCTCCCTACCCCCTCCCCATTCCCAACTAGGTCTTTCAACATAAAAAAGAAAGTGTCTTCTTAAAGATACAACCAATTAGTTAAATTGTTGTGAAATGGTAACAACAGCTAGATTGTCGTTTACTCCTTGGTTACAGGTGAAGGCCTGAAGTGGCATAAAGCTAATGTTATTTGAAGATTAGGGTGCTTTTTTGATAAACAGAAACATTAAGTATTGAACTTTTACCATAACTTTGCTTCCATAAGTAAAAAGCAACACATATGTTCCAATAAAAAGGTAAGTAATATTTTTGAATAATTAAGTTTAAACATTTGTCACATTTTAGTTATTTTCTCTTTTCTAATGAAATATATTTTGCTTCCATAAACCACTAAATTACTCCATAAAAATCCCAATATTACACTTCAATCTTGATTACAAACAATCTCTAGATTACACAATAAAAAAATAAAAATAAAAAATAAAATAAAACCACAAAACACACTATATATAAAAAAGAACCCTTTTGCCAGCTTAAGAAACAAAAACATACCATTGGGAACATGAGAAAGGTTAACCCCAGTAGAAGAAAGTGCCTCCTGATTAGTTCTTGAGAGTTGTAAAATGTCTCCGAAAGCCGTAATCTGAACAGGACCCTTAATTCCATTAGCCCTGAGAGCGGCAGTGATCATATGAGCAATCTTAAACACATTGACACCTGCAGGCAGATTGCAGTTCTCAAAATCCCACCAAACCGAAACCTTAACGTGTCGTGACTCCTCCTCGTGGCGCCGCCACAAAGGATGAGAATGGGCAGGCTGCGCCTGGAAAGTGGAGAAATGGGAAACGAAGATTGAGAGTGAATATAAGGGTGCAGAAGAGGAAAAGGAAAGAAGGGTTCTCAGAGGGAAGGGTTTAAGGCTCATTGTTAATGGGAAAATGGGGTTTTTTTTCATTCCAAAGGTTTTGATTTTCTTGGAAAATTTTTGGAGGACGGTGGTGACTGGTCAGGAAGACAAAGCGAGGGTTTTAGGAAAACCCTTTTTATTTCATTAAAAAAAAAAAAAAACACTTTTATTTAGCTTTGGGAAATTCAGAGTTGGTCTGGGTTTATTGATGTGAATCGATCTAGACCTCCTCTAAGGAAATGCACTGTGATTGTTGGGCTTGGTTTACTGTTGGGTCTTGGGTTTTTTTGATGTTTCCTATCTTACCAACATATCAACCTCATCGTGTTTTGTTTTCTAATATGTTTCGATTGATATTTATAAGAAGTAAATGTAATAATCTGTTTTACTTTACAATTTGCAAAGAGTGGGAATTTCTCTATGCATTGATTCGTCATGCTTTTGAAGGCCTTTAAAACTGACACAATCATAAAATCTACGTGTTTGGAATCACACAAATTTCTTTGAATCCCATTATGTTTAAAGAAAAAAAAATGTTTAAAGAAGGGATGAAAGAAAAACCAATAAAAGGGATTCGGAGGAATTTAAATCTCACTTTATAAAAAAAATTAAGTGCAATTTTAGTTTTTGTTTGGAGCTCCTTGGTCCCCCTCTTTGTGTCTATGATGCTTCTTTTAAACTAATATCAATGTTAGCATTTCAACAAGGAAAATATTATTTAAATATGAATGGTTTTAGAGGCATGTGCATAAATGAAACAGTATAAAATTGGGAGACTGATACTTTTTCAACTTCATTGATCAATTTTTTTTTATATTTATTATTTTTACCTCAATTAAGCATTGATATATAATTAGGTTGTTTTGGTAAAGAAAAGTTTAAGTGAAAAGAGGTTATTCCATTTCAAAATTAAAGCATATCATAAATTTTAGCAAGAACTTATACATAATAGACTTATAAATTATCCATAAAAAATATTGTTAAAGATAAAAATTGAATTTAAGTTTTACAAATAAAATATTTAATTTTTATCAATTTAATCAAACCGTTGACTTAATAGATAATGCACCTTCCAGTCAAGGTATTTTCTCTATTCTGAAGAAAATGTGAAATAAATGTGATTAATTTTTTAGTTGAATTTTGACTCTGATTGGCTATAAGATTTTTTCCTTAAATTACCTTTGAAAAAAAAAAATCCAACAGGATAAAGTGTAAATTTATTATTATGTTTATATGCGTGGTTCAAATTTATTATCAATCTTTTAAATGATCTAATTTTATCATCACACTTCTAAATTTGAAGTAAAATTTTCATCTTACTTCAAAATTTGATGCAATTGTAGAATACTCAATAAAAAATGCTATTGAATTTTTTAATTAGATAATCAGAATAAAAAATTAACAATTTCATTCTTGATATTTTAAATATTTTATTAAATTACATTTTATAAAATTATTTTATTAAATTAATTGACATGATATTTTTGAGACGATTTAAAATTTGAGTCTAATAACATGACTTTTTTGGCCACGTGGCCTAGTGGTGGGATTGGATGGCCATTTCACTTGTCCTTGTGTTCGGAGAAAGTTAATTTTGTTTATTCGATCGATTTAATTAATTTTAAATTAAATTATTTAAAATTAAATTAATTAAATTATTATTTTATTTTTATTAATTGAATTAAATTTATTAATTTTAAAAATTAAATAATCAAATTAAATTTAATCAATTCGATTAAATTTTTCGATTAACAGAATAATATATATTTAAGTTAAATTATATTTTAAACTCTTAATTTTTCATATTTTAAATAAATTAAAAAAAATTATTTAATAAAATATTTAAATATTAAAGTATTATATTAAAAATTCTAACAATTTATTAAAAAAAATGATCTATTTCATATATTTTTATTTTATATTTTAATTAAAATTTTGATTAATTCAGTTTTTAAATCAAATTAACTAAAAATCAAAATTTTTCTAAAATTATTTTTATTAATCAATCAAAATTAACTTGATAACCCATTAATTAATCGAATTAAATCGATTCGATCGATTAATTCAGTTAAAATCGAATTATGAACATCTCTATTTCTCACTTGCTTTTCAATGCTTTATTTTTTGTGATTTTGAGAATTTTTTTTATATTGTAACGCGTTTTTGTGTGTTGAAGTGGCATTTGTGGTGAAATGGTGGCGATTGCTTTGGCTCATATGCATTATGCGCGAATAATGTAGAACTAAGAAGAAAGAGTTGATCAAGAGGTTTAAGGGTATAACTAGAACTCAAAAAATGTTGTCAAATCAATAGCTCCTTGGCAACCCAGATCAGCTTTTAATATTTTCATCTAAACCTCTCAATTCTGATTCCTTTCTTTACTTGTTATTCTTCGTTATTATCCTTGTATTTACATGGCCTATCTTTGGGTTCTGTTAACTATAGGTAAGATGGGTGTTTTTGTTGACGATGACAGTAGAGCATGGAAAAAGAGCTTTTGAATATTTTGGCTTCTATAGAGAAAAGGGTTGGGTGGTAAGGAGGTCTCAAACAGAGAAGACGAAGGATAAAATGAGGTGCCCATATGACCATAAAATTTCATTGATTTTTTATATTTGGTGTTATTCGAAAATGTCATGTCAATTGAGTCAACCCTATATTATCAAAATCAAGGAAAATGTCAGCATAGTTAACAGAGCAAATGTGATTCGGTTAATGATCAGACAGAAATTGATAATTTATGAAAAAAGAAAGAATTCGATTTGTAAAAATCAATGTGTAGCGACTAAATTTGCATATTTGCATAAGTATAGGGACTAACTGTATATTTTGACTTTCTTATGTCAACCACCCGCTCTATATCAACCTCCAACAAAATTTTACTCTTGGCACCACGCTTGCCGCTGACACCATCTATTAAGTCACATGGAATAAGTGAATTGACCTATAAAAGTTCTCTTTGCTGATGATCCTTTATATGGACCTCTAAGCAGAAGGTAGGTTATTGTAATCAGGCAACTAATAGAGAGAACAAAATCCAAGTTGTTGGGATAAAAAAAATAAGAAAACGAAACAAAAAAGATACGATTATGATGTACCACTAAGGAGAATTTTCTGCATCTTGCTCTCTAATTTCATCTCCAACAGAGACAGCATATGCTTTCTGGTTTTTCTAACACTTGTACTGAAAGCCTGAAGATATTGATGAAGGGTTGAAGCTCAATTGATCATATTGATACAGTAGCAGTGAAGAAAATGGGTTCAAAGAAGCCTTTTCTGGTGGCGCTTCTGGTGCATGCTCTTTCTTCTGGCATGATCTTACTCTCCAAGGCAGCATTCGATATGGGTATGAGTATATGTGTGTTTGTCTTCTATAGACAAGTCGCCGGAACTATTTTCTTGGTCCCTTTTGCTATTGTTTTTGAAGGGTAATGTTACAGTTTCTGTCATCTTTTTGTTGATAATGATTCCAATTAAGCAGCTATTGCCCAGTTTTGTCTCTTCCTTCTTTTCTTGCATTCCAGGAAAAAAGCCAAGCCACTTTCATTAGTGACCTTCTGCAAGATTTTTATGGTTGCTTTACTGGGGTATGTAATGCTTGGAAATTCCTTTCTCCAGCTCCTCTGCTCGGAAGACAAATGTTAATCTGCTCTTGAACTGTAACTGTTAATTTCAAGAAGGAAATTCGCCTGAATTATATGTTTTTAATTTTCGTTCCATTTAGGATTACCTTTCCCCTGAACATTTACGGGTTAGCTCTCGTTTACACATCTGCAAGTCTTGGTGCTGCCGCGGTTAATTGCCTTCCCGTCATAACATTTGCCGTTGCAGTTTTACTCAGGCAGGTTTTAGTAACTATTTTTTTTTATTGGTTTGCCTTGCTTTTACGTTTTGATTTGAAAATTGACTAATTCAAATTAAGTTTAATATTTCTTCAAATATTTCATATTTATTGTATCAATCAGTAAAAGTGAGAATGATTTAGACATAAAATCTTTCGAGACTTTAATGGTACCAAAAGACTTAATGACATTGTTCATTATGGTTATACCAGTACGTAAGGTTGCTTTGTTGCAGGATGGAGAAGGTGACACTGAAGACAGTCCCTGGCATTGCAAAAGTTGCAGGTATAGTGGTGTGCATGGCAGCGGTTGTTACTCTTGCTTTTTACAAAGGACCTGTTTTGAAACCTCTGTTCCATCCCCATTTCCAACGTCATAGCGGTGGCCAAGATTATCACAATGCTGCTCATGATTCTTCTTCCAGAAAATGGCTACTTGGATGTTTCCTCTTGTTAGTTTCCTGCATATGTTGGTCCCTCTGGCTTGTGTTTCAGGTAGCGCTTACTATCATTAACCCATAAGAATTACGTAAAATTTTACATTCCTGTAGGTATTGATTACTCTTTCTCTTCTTTAAATACTATCTTGTTGTTTGATAATGAAAGCCACTTATTACTTGTCAATTTGATGGTTCTAGTTTCATAAAAACAGGCTCAAATTTTGAAAGCCTACCCTTCCAAGCTTACTTTCACAAGCGTTCAGTGCCTGTCGGGTGCAGTTCAGTCATTTCTTGTTGCTATTGCTTTGGAAAGAGATCCTCACCAGTGGAAGCTGGGATGGAACTTTAGACTGCTCGCAGTAGTTTACTGTGTAAGCAAACAGAAAGACTTTAATAATATCTTAGAGAAATCTATAATGGAGGAGAATATACAGAAAAAGGAAAAAGATATGAAACTGTTAAAACCAATGTTATCTTTCTTGATTCTATACATTTTTGGCAATGATTTCAATCTTTTTTAACATTATTTAAACTTGTTGCATTAATCTGTAACAGGGGGTTGTTGTGACTGGTGTTGCATACTTTTTGCAAGCATGGGTGATTGAAAAGAAGGGACCAGTTTTCCATGCTGTGATGATACCATCAAGCCTGGTCATTACAATTCTTGGCTCAGTGTTTCTCATAGGGGAAACCATTAATCTAGGAAGGTAAACAATTTTATCCAATTGAAATAATACATCTTAGATTTTGAAAAAATTCGAGAAAAAGAAAGCTAAAACGTTAATACGTATATCTTACTGTGAATGTAGTGTTTTGGGGGCAATCTTGTTAGTGATAAGCCTTTACAGTGTTTTATGGGGAAAGAGCAAAGAACAGAACAAGGATAGTGTGGGTTGTTTACCTGTTCAAGATCAAACAGACTGTAGTACACAAGTGAAAGAAACACCAGTTAGCAGCAACATCCCTCGGCCATCATTATCGACGTCATTAACATGATCCATGTTCTTTGATGTGTTTTTCTTCAATCTATTATTTTCTTCTGCCATTTTGTAATTGTTTTATAGTTTTCGACAAGCTTCTAATTTGTATTTGAGCTTCAAACCAATTCATAAAAATTTGAGTTAATGGATTTATTTTGTTTGATATTCGGATCATATTGAGTTCGTTTGAGTGGACTTCAAACCATTTTGAGTTTCAAGACTGGATCAAGAGTATTAACAAATTTACTAAGTCATTATTCCAAAGTTGAAAGAATGGGATAGGGCTACTAGCTACTTTTAGGGACAATAATGGTTTAAATTGATTCAGTTTTTTTTAATAATACAAGTTATTATAAATTTCTAAAATTTAATTTGAATTTAATTTTTTTTTTAAATCAATCCAATCCGTACTAAATTTTATCAATTTAATTTGATTTGATTTATCAATTTTTTTTAATTTTTATGTATTATTTTCATAAGATTTTTAATATATTTATATATAAAATAATTATTTTTACATTATAAAAATTTTAAATATATATATATCATTAAAAATATATAATTCAACTTAATTCTTTTATTTTTTATTTTTTACATTTTAATCCAAAATCAGATTTAAATTTAATATATACAGTTAATATTCAAATTTAACTCGAATTGAATTTAAAAAATCAATTCAACCAAATAAAATATTACAATTACGAATCCATTTTTTTTTTTTCTTATCTTTAACTATTATCAAATCAACTCATTTTCTAGGTGTAATTTTAATAGTAACTAGTAGTTGTTGTCACGAAATTTGCTTCATGAATGTTTGTTTTTTTTTTAATTCCATAGTATCTAATTTATTGGTGAAGTAAGAAAAAAACTGTAATTGCCCGCTGTAATACTAAATCAAAGTTATTTTGGCTTCGTCGATTACTGAAGGATATGGCTATTGCATAATCATATTGCTATTTAGATTACTTGTAATAATGTGTTTCAGAAACACAATAAAATATATTGAAATTAGTTGTCATTTTGTACGTCATCATGTTACTTAAACAACCATTAATTTGACTTTTGTGTCTTTTCCAAACTCAAATTGGTATCTATCAAAATATCTTGAGTTTAAGGGGCGTTAACGTAATTATAATAAATTATAAAGATTATGAGACAATTACGATTACAATATGATTATCTTGATTCTCTTTTAAATTGAGAACCTCTTATATACTTTTTTTTTTTTAATTTTTAATTTATCTTTTAAATTTTTTATTCTTATGACATGCCACCAAATCTAAAAATCAATCGGCAAAATCTTTTTATCTACATATGTCGCCTTCTTGGTACAATTTCTTTTCTTGTAACACCACACTTTTTCCGAAGGAGTTATGCGGGCAAACAAATTAACTTTTTTCCTTTTGTTTGTAGCATTTTCAAGAGCAAAACTGTTTTAGAAAAGAGATTTTCCTAGCTGGGACGAGAAAGGTTAAAAGTTAGGACTTTATTAACACATATAAATGTATATCTTTTATCTTTTATTTTATGATTTGTCTTTTTGGTCAAATCTCCTATTGAGTTAGTGCAACTTGACCTGTGACACCAACTTAATTAAAAGTTTTAATAAATATTAATATATATATATTGATGGAATTTTAATTGATAGACACATTTATCCTGTACTCATCGTGAATAACTTTTTTTAATGAACAATTGGTATGAATATAAAAGTAAAATCAGCTTATCATGAACTAATTGCGTGTCTTATTTGTAAATGACTATAAAACTCAATTTCCATAAGCAAAAGCCTATTAATTTATCTTGCTATGACCCACTTTTGTGGGTCCTATGTGAACTGAAAATGTATCTAATTTCAAAACATGAGAAGAAAACATGTGAAGATCAGACGGGTAGTTGAAGAGGCAATAACATTATGGGATTCATTACGGAGTTTGTTCACCAACCATATCTTGTTCAAATATTTTCTACCATACATTCATAACTAAGAATTGAATATTGGATCATGTGTTAACTATTGTGTCAAATGATTGTTGCATCTCTAATTATAATTAACTTATCAAAAAATAAAAATTTCTCAATTGTGGTCTTTATTTGGCTTGGATTAATTAGGGCAGTAAAGTTTCGACACATTCAATATAATTTTATAAAATATTATAGACTTCATTTGGCATTTATAAATTGAAGTAGAAACCATGGATACACACACAAAAGGAAATATCTAGCATTTCATATAAAATTATTTGCTTTAATAAAGGCAAAGAAGATGTAGTGGGAATGTCATGTCAGATAAAGAACTTGTCATGTTATCCATTTTTTGGAGGTACAGCCATAATCTGCCCTTTGCTTTTGAAGTCTCTTTAGCGTGCTTTAAGGTGGCGTATTTATTTATTCACTTCTGTTTTTTCCTCCCAATGGCTTTGTTACTCAAAATAAAGTAATTCTAATGATGAAAGCATATATATATATTTGATGTATTAATAATATATAAACTCTACATACTATTATTTAATTACAAAATATCACATTATTAATGAATAAATTTTAAAAATTAAAAATTTCAAAATGTAAATATCTATACATCCAAATAAAAGCCACTATATGTCTATGCTATTTATAAAACTCTTGATTGAGTTTGGTATCAACAGTCAAATGACAATAATTCAATTTGAAGAAAGGACAAAAAATCTATATCTATACTAGTTATAAAACTCTAAATTGAGTTTGGTGTTAAAAGTCCAATGGTACCAATTCAGCTGAGGAAAGTAAAAAATAAAATAAAATAAAATAAATTCATGATATTAAATAATAAAACAGGTTATTATTGTCATTAATTTTTTGTATAATATTTCTTTTTGAAAAATTTTCTACTTCTTAAAAACTACCCACTTCTTTCTAAGAAACAACCCCAATATAACTTCTTTTTTTCTTCTAAAACATGGTTTTTAACTCCACCTCTTAACAAACATGTGAAAATTAAGTTTTGCTTTCGACTCCACACATTACTTTGTTCAGATTTTAATAATTATTAAATTTATTACTTATTCCATCCTAAATTGCTAGTTTCTCTTTGATTTTTATGCAGTTTAATTAAAAAAAAAAACCATTGACTAATTTATTTGATGCTGAAATTAAAACTTCTTTTATGAGATTGATTTTCATAGTTTTTAATCTGAAAAACTAAAAAATATGAAAAATAATTTTATAATATAAAAAAATGAATTTTAAGTGTTCAAAAAATAAAAAAAGAAATATTTAATTTAGGATATCCAAAAAAGAAAAATGAATAAAAAAAAATGAGATGGAGGAACTATAAATTTAAACTTCTTTTGTTGATTCTTTTACATTCGAAAGCAAATAAGTAAAAAAAATGTGTTAGGGTATAAAAGGAAACTTCTTTTTTTTGAAGGATCCTAAACAATATATATATATATATATATTTGTTTATATGAAAAAAATGCATGATTTTATTCTTATGAAGACTCATATAATTTATGTTACGTTTTAATTATTTGTGTATATCAAATCAATTGCGATATTTCTTTTTACTTTTTATTTTTTTCCATAAAAAATTTAAACAAAATAAATAACAAAAGCATCAACTAAACAAAGATATTATACATATAATTAACCGAGTTTGAACACGTGGTTCTGTTCCTTGGGATCACTTTCTTGGTTCGTTTTTCATAAAGTCTTTCTTCGTAGTTGTTGACAGTTTGCCCTCGGTCCTCAACCTTTTTTTCTTTCTCATAATGCCGCATTAATAATGTAATTGGACAAGTAACATGATATAACAATGTCACATGACATATAGTAAGATAAAAATGTAACAATAAATTACTTAAAAGATAACAAAAACTAAATGGCTTCCCGTTTCTTTTATTTTTGTTGTATATAAAAAATTAATTGGTCAATAGCTTTGTTCTAAGATTGGATTATTTGTTTAAATCTCAAAATTTATCCGATATTTGGTAAGGCTTGTATAAAAATATTAAATTCATTTAACGTATTTAAGCAAAAATTATCAAGCGGGATTAAGCCATTTGTTAATTGAACAGACTTTATAATTACAAGAAGGTACTTTACAACTAAACCATTTATTAATTGATCGGACTTGAGCAAATTAATTTATGGACTGAATTATCAAGCAGGATTAAGCTAGATAAAACATTTAAGTTATTGATATTATGTCAACCTTCGGAGTAGCCCATGAATGGTTTTTTTTTTTTTTTTTTTTATAAGCTCTATTGATTAGTGCGCAACATGTGACCTTATAAAACAGGTTCATATATTTTTTTTATATTCAGAATTGGCGGTAAATTTATCAATATAGTTAGCGAAATTGTGGAGGTATAAGAAATTGAAAGATGAATTAAAGGAATAATATAGAACAAAAATATGCAAGAAAGAAGAATTCAAAGAGTTTTAATTTTATTCCTTAGACCCATTAAACTAATTTTCCTCAATTAAGTTAATATATATATATATGTTAAGGTTTGTAGCCATTTTTGTTAAATATAGTGGCTTCATGTTTCAATTTGGTTTCTGTAATCATGCTAACTCTTTATGATTACAAGATATGTTAATTATAAAATACCTTCTTGTAACACTGTTGAAAACTCATAAAAGGTTGGTGATTTGCTTAATAAAAAAGTTTCATTTTATTGTCAACTAAAGTTTGATCTTTGTGAGAAACTTTTCAAAAGTGAAATCTTTATTGCATCTGATTGATTTGAGAGAATGCACCCTGAAAATTTTCGGACGAGAAAATTATGTTCAGAATAGCCCTGATCATCTATTCATCTTATAAAAAAAAAAAAAGCACTCCTCAAAATTGGTTATGAATATTTTTCTTTTATTATCATACCCATCTAGCACAACTACTTACTAGGTAGCATAGAATATATATGGTGGCAACCCATACTAATTTCCATTGCTTAATTAGAATTTAGGTGGGTTCACACTTTCACATAACTACCCTCTAAGCAAATACCAGATCATATATATATAGTGGTAGACAGAGCAAGTCGAGCTCATTATTCCACCGGAAATGGGTGCAAAGAAGCCATACGTTGTCGCCTTTCTAATACAAGCAACATATGCTGGCAATGTCTTGCTTTCCAAGGCTGCATTTAATGCCGGTATGAGCACTTTCGTCTTCGTCTTCTACAGACAATTTGCAGGAACTCTTTTCTTACTGCCTTTTGCCATCGTTTTTGAGCGGTATACTAGTAATTCAATTTCCTTTTGTTCTTTGATGATGATGATGATATATATATTTGTAAATAACTTCATACCAAATTTTCTAGCTGTCTCTTAATATTCCAGGAAAAGTCCGAATCCGCTTTCCATGGCAATCTTCTGCAAGATTTTTATGCTAGCTTTTCTTGGGTACGTGCGCAGGTGGCTTTGAGTTTATCCATTCGTGTATGACGAAAAATGTCATATTATTCGACAAACAAGGGAAGATTTAATTGATGTCTCCTTACAATTTTGGTTTCAGGATTACTTTGTCCTTGAATGTTTATGGTGTTGCCCTCGTTTACACTTCTGCAAATCTTGGTGCTACAACAATTAATTGCCTCCCTGTCACAACATTTGCCTTTGCAGTTTTGCTCGGGTAGATCTTCTCAACATTAATTTTTTTTTGTTCTTTCATTTGCATTGATGATTTTATACTTCATCACTTCACCCATGGAAAAATAGAAAAAAAAAAGAATGAAACTAATTAATTAGTAATTAGAATTTTTATTTTCATTGAGAAAACTTCAAACTTGCAGTTTGTTCAATAAAACTGTAACTAAATGTTTTTTTTTTTCATATGGCTAGTTAAATGTAGCTAAATGTTTCTTTATCTTTTCCTCAAAGAATCCTAAGTTTATTGGTGTGATCATTGGCGGCATGGAAAAGTAATAGGATACTGATCCATGGAATAAATTGTTATCTTAATTTAAGTGACATGATTGAGCTCGGAGTCAGTAGTATCATAGTCACTTCGAAGGACATTATGCTAAATAAATAATTGATAGATAGTTCCTTTGCAGGATGGAAAAGGTGAACATTAGGACAGCTCCGGGAATTGCAAAGGTCGCAGGTATAGTAGTGTGCATGGCTGGTGTTGCTGTCCTTGCTTTCTATAAAGGGGCCCATTTGAAACCTTTAGTCCACCATGGTTTGGAATTTGGTCACGGAAACCGGGATCATCACGATCATGTTTCTTCTGCCAAACGGATGTTGGGTTGTTTCCTCTTGTTAGTTTCTTCCATGTGTTGGGGCCTATGGCTCGTTCTCCAGGTAGCCTCTACCATTTAAATTAATTTTTTACCGTCAAATCATTGCAATATTGATCAGTTTTTACGATTTCTCATGCATCACTGAAACAGAAAATTTTAGTTGTGATCAACAATTTCAAGTATGTAAATTAATTATCTTCGCAAGGGAACTTAAAAACAAAATCCTCACCCAAATTAAGGATTTGTCTTCAACTATTTCTTTCATTCCGTTTTCATCTCTTACGTCGAATCATTCCATTTTCCTTTCCCCTCAACTTTTCTTCCTTGTCACCTAATATAATCGAGATGGGAAAAAGGTTTAATTTTTCTGTTCTAAATTAATTATACATCTACTAAATTTCTAAGGGATAATCAATGAATAATTAGTGGACCACATAGTTTTTCCACCACTTAATGGAAAAGGTGTCTTATAGTTCTTTCATAGATGGCTCTTCGGGAATTCTTGAAATGATGTATCAATAAATTATTCATCTACTTTATTTTCTACTGTTGGTGTCTCCCAAAGTTCTTATGAACTGATCATCTGAATAATTGGAGCAGTTTTAATTCTGGTATCAATGTATTTCATATTAATGATTTTCTTTTTGGCCAACTATTGATATAACAACTGACAGCTGATAAAACTTGACCATAATAATTTTATTACTGAATAGACTGTTTCTGACCGACAACAGGCCCAAATCTTGAACATCTACCCATCGAAGCTGGCATTCACTAGCCTCCAGTGCCTGTCAAGTGCAATTCAGTCATTTCTTTTAGCTGTAGCTTTCAAGAGGGACCTCCGGGACTGGAAGCTGGCCTGGAATGTTAGACTGCTCTCAGTATTATACTGCGTAAGAAAACAGGGTGCTTTTTTACTGGAAAATTAGTTTGAGTGTTCAACAAAATGTCATATTCTTTAAAGCAAATACTTTTCGGTAAAGTATCTAAGACGGAATAGTCAAAAGAAAGTCGACACTCTTGCCTGGTGAATGGATAACCAATTTTAATACTTAATTTTTTTTTTACACAAGTATACAATAAGTATTAAAGTACAAAAAAGTTTTCATTGCTATCTTTAATTACTTTTGTCTTTTTCTCTTTTTTTGGCCTAAACATTTCCAACATCATTTGACGCATAGCAAATTGTAATACAGGGTATCTTGGTAACGGGCCTAGCATACTATTTGCAAACATGGGTGGTTTCAATGAAGGGTCCAGTTTTTCTAGCTATGACAACACCTTTATGTCTGATTATGACAATCCTTGGTTCCATGTTTGTCCTAGGCGAGGTCATTAATCTAGGAAGGCGAACTACTTTACTCATTTTAATTACATAAAGCATTTTCCATATATAATTGAGGATTACCCATTGAGGGTTAAGTCTTTTCCATATGTAATTACTTAAAGCAAACTATGAATTAAAGTGATAATCAAAGTCTCAACTTTGTGCTCTTGCCTTTTTGACTGAGGAAAAGAGCAAAAACAAATTAATTATCGTTTTTCTCCAAAATCTTTTCGACCTTGATTGTAATTTGTGCATAGCATGGAAAACTTTTACCAACTTTAAATGTTGTTTTGTTTTGCACGTGTAGTGTCTTAGGTGGCGTCTTATTGGTGATAAGCCTTTACAGTGTCTTATGGGGGAAAAGCAAAGAAGAACGTATGGAGAACCAATTGTTACCAGTTCAAGATGAAGAAAAATCCACAGATTTGAAAGAAACAGAAGCCTCAATTGCCAAACCAACCTCATTGGCACAAAATATGTGATCAGTTGAGGACTGCCAATAAGCTATAGACCTAGAAATTAATCAACATGTGTAAGAGATTAAAAATGTTACAAGAAAAGGAATTCTTATATTCTCAATTGTGTAAAGTCTGTCAAGAAAAGAAATCCTTATATTTTCAATCGTGTAAAGTTCGTACAAAGAGTGTGTATGTATGAAGAAATTCTCACTAATTAATTACGAGAGAGAATCAAACTAAGAATATTGTTGACACTTAAAGTAATCCATAGAATTTGGACTAAGAAACTTAGCTATAAAGTACAAATTAGACCCAACCCAATTCAAGTACTTAATGTTAAATTGGGTTTAAATTAGGTAATTAGTAATTAATTAATTAATTTGAGTAATAGAATCATTATAAAATCTCCCTAAAAAAATCAACGGATAGAATTGACACGTTTAGTGGAAAAATTTTAAAAGATAATGCCACGAAAAAGGAATCAGTTTGTCAATGAGGAACATTAATTGGAAAGCAAGGCAAAAGGAGGAAACTCACGGAATCTTGCTAAAAGTGTTGGGGATGAGCAACTTACAAAGGTAAATCAGGCTACATTGACGGTTGTTTTTAAGACGGCACTTGAAAATGCAAGTTTCAATGCGAACCAGTTATGTAACAGTATCAATAGTTCCATGAAAGCTGTTTTCAGAGGCAAAAGCATACTTTAGATGATGCTAAGAATATTCTCAATCATAATGTGAGATGAGTACCATTCGTGGAAGTAAATTTAACATTAAGTTAAATCAAATTTAAATTGGGCTTTGGACATGATTTAAGGTTTGGGTTTCATCTTATTCGATTCAAAAATATTTTTTATTAGGTTTTACTTTAAATATTTATTTAAAAATATTAAAATATTAATATAAGAACAATTTTATATTTTAATAATATATCTCACTTAAATGGGTGAGCCGGATCGAGCTTGTGCTTAGGTTTTCAAAGTGTCACATGAGCTTGGCCTGAGTATTTCTAGTGTTCTTTGCTATTACGGTGATAAAAGAAACTTAAAAATGAAGAATTTGTCAAAATTTTAAAATTTTTTTATTATCATGTTGTGAAGCAGTCGACATGAATATATTATTTGATCAAGGTATGGTAAGGTGGAATACGACTCAAGGGGTTCATTATCTTTTAACAACTAAGAATCAAAACATTAACACTCGTAAATATTGATGATTAATCTTAAAAATGTTCATAAACTGAGTTAACCTCAATTTGGGTCTTGTCCACCGATTAGATTGATTTAAAAAATATTATTAAAAATTACTTTATATTAACATTTTGAAATATATTTTAAAATTAATATTAAACAAAATAAATTTTTTTAATAAAATAATATATTGGGGGAGGTTAGGATTTGAAAATTCCTATCTCATACTCAGCTTGAAACGGACTAGGCCCACAATCTTGATAGGCCACTCGGCTCACGGACATGTCACTTGAAAAGCCATTGACTTATCCGTTTCTTTGCTTTGCCAAATGACGCAGACAAAATTTTCGCTTTTAGTACGAGTCATTTTGATTATTATTAAACTTGAAATTTTTTCTATTGGCAAAAAAATGTAAAAATTTTTTTATCCGTTTTCTTTTTAAATTTTTTTACTAAATCAATTGAAAACTATAAAAAATATATTTTAATCTCTCGAACTTTGAGAATAATGAGTAAAATGTACCAATCATTTATAATTTTTATAAAACATTTTATTTTCATTTACAATATTTTAAAAATGTTTAATTCTATCCAACCATTAACAACCGACGGCGATGATGATGATAATAATTTAACTGACATAACTCACGTGATGTCAGATTTTAATGACGACAATTGATGAAATTGATGAATTTAAAACATTTTGAAAAAATTGTAAAAAAATTGACAAATAGAGGTCATTTATTCTTATTGTTTACTCGGCTTACAATTCGCAAAGAAAAAAATCAGTGGGACATTCCTCCATCGCATTTTCATTTAAAAAAAAAACGATATACACTTATAAAATTTTTAAAATTTTATTATAATATATAAAAATTTTAAATACGTTTCACCTAAATTCTTAAAATAAAAAGTAAATAAAATGAACATTGCATTGTCCTTTTATTTTAGACAAAATCTTTCCATATCAACAATGGATACGCAGATCTTTCCAATTCATTACGTGCCTACCTTTTGCATTTATCATTATCACCGTGTTCAATTCTCGAAAAACCAAACCAAAATAATAATAATTATAATAATAAATTCAAATTGACCTAACCAATTCATAAATCTAAAGAAAGAAACTGTTGGAATTGTTACAATTATTTGTAAATTATATATGATCAACATCACAAAGAAAACAGTCTTACAATGTTTTATTTATCAACAAGCATCTGTCCAAGCTGGTGCTTACTGAATAACATATATCGTTTTCAGTTGATAGAAGACTATACATACGAAAACTGATCCAATTTTGCTTCTTTTCCAAATGATGAATTTCTGGGAAAAAGAGTATAGTTGTCTTGTCGGTACAACTGGCGAGTTAAATTTAGTGAGCTGCCATTGGTGATCACCATCAAAAGGACTTTACGTGATTTTGTTGGCGTGTCCTGCTTCCTCATATTCTTATTTTGCATGTTTTATATACGTTTGCTCTAACTAGAATTTCTAGTATTAATTATTAGTCCCTGTCCCTCCAAAACATCATTTAATTTCTGTGCCTATTTTAGTTGTGAAACAATTGTTGACCTTTACACTTCTCTCTCTCTCTCTCTCTCTCTCTCTCTAGATATATATATATATATATATATTAACATTGTAAATGTTTTTGACAACAAAATAATTATACTAAAAATAAAAAAAAAATGCTTCCTCTGTACCAATTAAATTCTTACAGTTGATTTTTATTTAATAAAATCACCATTATTTTAAATATTTAAAATAATTAAATTTTATAAAAGATATTTGAAAATTATCTTATTAAAGTTTATAAAATATATTTTTTCATATTTTTATAAATGATAAATATAAAATAACAGAAGACAGTAGCTTAATGTTTTACCAATAAAATAAGAATATATAACAAGTTTATTGGGGTGGAATAAACCTGTCTATGAATAGCGTCGGGTCAAGCCAGGTTGTTGAATGCCTTGCCCAAGGCGTAATCCACATTTAGAATGAAAAAATGTCTGATTAAAAATTGGATTAGTTGAAGCTGACGTTTAAAGGTTGTGGGATCTAAAAAGGGTTAAAGTCTCTTCTTATCCAATTGTTTAAAAAGCGAAAAATGGCATTGTTTTTATGGCGTTAGCCTCCTTCATTATTTTTAACCCGAAAAAAGCACTCACTAGGTGAACAAAAAATATATTTTAGAAAAAAAAAAGTTACATAGGGGTAATTTTTTTAGAAAGAATTAGATAATTTTTTTTTTACAAAAATATTTCTAAAAAATAGAAAGATATTTATATCTCTATTATAGTTCATGATATTATGAATTTGTTTGATTTATTTGTATTTATTTGTATTGAGTTTGTATCGTTTGAATCGTGATATCAAATTCAGTAAAAAATTGTATTAGTATATATATACTTTTAATTACTATTCAAATATATGAGTCTCAAGAGTTATGAATGGGTTTCATATATTCATACATGATGACGTTTATGTTGGATGCATGCATTGAAAAATAAAATATTAGGTAAAAAAGTAATAGAGGAACCAAATCCTTTTTCTTTACTTTTAAAAGAAAATTTAACATAAAGTTACAAGTGGACGCATATAAAACTAACAAAAGACTAAAAGCAATCATGACATTAATTTGGTGTTTTGTGATCAAAGCAAAGAAGATATATATAATTACATCTATGATTGATAAAGCTAAGGGCCGTCCATGTTGAATGCAATAGCGATTATAATTGGCATGGGATTCATAAGAACAACGTTTGCGCATGGAATTTTACGTTTAATAATTCCTTTTTCCTGGTGTCTTTTGCTACGATAGCATGCAAATTTCGTCATGGTGTTCTTATGCAAAAAAGAAAATGTTGAAGCCCCAATGGAAATTTATGGTTCAACTTATTGCTCGGAAAAGTAATCAAAACCCATCTTTTGTTCTGAATAGAACTATAGCTGTTGAGTTATCAATATCTTGCTTTAACAACCAAAGTTGATTTGTGAACATTAAAAGGTTTTTGTTTTTTAATTCGTAAGGCTCGAAAGCAACAGCCTCATTGAAAGATACATATGCTACTTTGTTTCTTTGTGAATCTGTGGATTTCGCAAAATGAACATACATACTCTTTCCTTTAAAGCAGTCTCAACATTGTTTTGTGATCCACAGCTAAGGATATATCATATATGACCATTTTTTTATGAAATTATTGGGCTTTGGAATATTCTTTTACTCTCACCTCAAACTCAAAGGATATTCATCAAAAGAATTTACATCATTGATTGAATTTGTTTAGAATTTATGTATTTATGTTTCTTTTAATTTGTACCGAAACGTGAAGGGGCTTTATTTAAGGGTTTTTTTTTTTTTTTGGTTAAGGAACCAAATGGTTACAAAACTATAACTTCCTAACAAAAGGAATAGAAACGACTTCCAAAAAATACATTGAATGTATGAACCCCAGATTCTCTCAATACCATAAACTCTTTAAAACTGAAAAAAATGGAGATAACAACATAGAAAAATTTCTCACCTATTATCAATTGTCCAAATTCACAAAATAACCTCAAACATATGTCCAACAAGCCTTCAGGTCTTCAACCAAATTGCTACAGCATCCATCAAATTTCCGTCTACACCCACCTTAACCAAAATATTATCGAGCCAACACCATATTGTCCATATATTTCTCCACAAATCCAATAAAATCAACTCTTCCATATACTATATCATAGCTAGCATTTTCTATGTCATTGTACTTAGAAAACTTGGTCATTTTCTTCAAGGGTTATAGATAGCAAACTCTAGAACAAAGTACTATCGAGTAGTGCTACCCTTTTCTATGTCATTGTACTTAGAAAAATAGCTATTTATGGCATGAGATACTGATCAATGATTGAAATTGGCATTACGCGGGAACATATCTTATTTTTCCCGAACAAAACAGCACAGTTCTAATTTCGGAAAACCATTTGCAAAATACAAAAATGTAAAAATTAGAACCCACTCGGGATACTTTTATAAATATAAAAAGGTAAAATCTAATAAATGTATAGATATAGATCGATATTTGGGAAAATTCGTTAAAATGTCATTTCATAATTTTTCTTCATTTCTTTTCTCCAATCGAACTATTTCAATTTAGTAGAGAAATTCATGTGTATGCACAAGGCTTATCACTTTCCTTCCTCTATACATAATAGCAGTCACATATGCAAGCACGTATAACTTAACCAAGTTCCAAATTTCTGATGAATTATTTGTTGGTATATGTAGTTTTGTAAAGCTGAGAAGTTCTAAAAGCAATGCACATAGGAAGCTAAAAATATTAGAAATGTTTTTGTGTTCCAACGTGTGGTATGAGTAGTACTCATCGTACAACACCCAAATATTCACGAATATCATGTTTCTTTTTCAAAAGAATCTTGCATGTTTTTCTTAGCGAAGAAAATATCAGCCGCAGCAAAGGTTCGATTTAATGGTATTCGGCTTGAATTTGAATTTAGAACGTAACAAAATTTTGTTTGATCTTATCTCTAAAACAATTTGTTGTTGCTTTGATTCAGATAACGATGTGACTTCAAGCGTATTGATTGCACGTTTCATGGCTTTTTTTCCTGAGACCACGTGGTTTTTTTCTTTTTTTGGCGCAAAGACACCACATGGTTTTTAATGCTTTTTATTTTTACTTGATTTTCTCTTTCCTTTCCTTTTTTCTTCTTTAAATTCCAGTTAATAGTGAATTTTGCTAACAAAGTACCCAAAGGACACTCTTTAAGAAACAACTTATTTAGTTTATTTATTATAATTAATATTATTTTATCAAGAGTTATTTTATTGGTGAGTCCCTTAGGGTTTTAGAATTTTAAAATAAAGTATTTTGCTTAGGGTTTATATGAGGCAAAAAGTGAGGTTAAGATCGAGGTTGTATGGCTTAGAGAGGTTCAAAATGATTTTGTGTAAGGTTTTAGGTGTAGCTCAAAAAATTCTTGTGAAATCCAATTAGGGCAAATAAAAATCGTTTGATTGTATATTGGTAGCTACAACAACATATATGTCAGTTGTAAAGGCTAAAAAATTGCAAATTTGAATATTAAATCACTTCTTTACCAAAAAGAAAAAGAGGGTCTCTTTCCCAAACATTTAATAAAATGAATTAGGTTTAGGTATGCAAATTATGACTTTGTGAGAAAAAAAAAAAAAAGATGGTTTTGGACGATGACATTTGGTGAAGAGATTTGAGAATTTAATCATATAACCAAATCAACCAACAAAAAAGATTCATAACATTTATAGTCGATATTGTACTCAAAACCACTTAACTTATAATCTTTGATTGATAAGTTTTAATTATTGTTTCTTACAATTAATTATAATTAAGATTATTCCTTAATTAATATTATTGAGTTATTCAAAAAAAATTAATGATCTTAATTTTTTTTTGGTGAGTGATTATCGAGAATCACACTATCAAACACCTCGAAGTTTTTCCATATTAAAAAAGAAAAAAAGAAATCAAATTGAAAGAGATACTGTTTTTTAGTGGAAAATCATCATGAAATGAAAACTTATATAATTAAAAAGAGATCTCAAAACAAGACATATAATAATTTTTTTAGTATAAAATTTACTTTTCTTTCATAGCGGGAATCTCTCTGTCTCCTACATTATTTGATGGAATCCATGAACTTTGATAATAACAAATTAAATATGGCTATATATGTTATTCTTGAAACTATTTTGCCTTTTAATTAGTAACCGAAAGATCCAAGTGTCATATTTAATATGGCTATATATATATATACATATTATTCTTGAAACTATTTTGTCTTTGAATTGCGTGGACGTTTTAAAGTGAACGATGGTGGGTTTAAAGGAGGTTAGAAAGAAATGAAAAAAAGAAGAAACGAAGAATTTAATCTCTGCTTTATTCAGATTAGATACCATTAGAGAAATAAATGTATTTCAAATAAAGCAGAACTCTATAGAAAAGGAAATAGAAAAGAATTATTTATTAAAATCTTAGTGCTTCAGGCACTTGTTTAAAACATGGAGAAGCATCGTCAAACTGCCTTTTGAACATTTACCAAAACAAATATTAAATAATTTACATGACAAAATCAGGGGATGGGTGGGCTTTATGCCAATTGTTCCCATGCATCATGTTTGCCATCATGAATTACTGTTGATTTGAGAAAGAGAGACTATTTTTTAATTTTTTTAAAGCATGTGAATACCTATTTTTTATTTGTAATTTTAAATAATAATAACATATTTAATATATATAGTTATATAAAGTACAAATAATTGTAATTAATAAAATGTTTGTTAAAATGTAAAGTTTGTTTTATGCATATTTAGTAATTAACATAAAATTTATTATTTTAACGCTAATGTAAATTAAAACCTTGAAAAAATTCAATGTTCATTTCCGGACATACTTGTTAAGTTTTTTTTTTTTTTTTTTTTTTTAAATTGTTTTGATCTTGGCATCGGAGGTGTTGTAATACTTCTCATCTACAAAGGCCTTACAAGCATAAAAATTCAATCTCGACATTTTAAAAGCATGCAGATTCTTGTCTCGGGATTTATACCAAAGCATTGAATTTAATAGTCTAGATAAATAATTATATGATAATTTAGAATATAATATGATATTAAGATATAAAATCGATACAAATAAAAAATATAAAAAAAATACGATTTAAAATTTTAACAAAAATAATTAATAAATTTAATAAAATAAAAAATATATTTTATATTTTTGTATCAACACAAATTATAATTTGAAATTTTCATATAAAATATAATAAAAATCTCAAGCCAAAGAATACATCTAACTATACAAATAAAAAATATTACAATTCCTTTTTAAAATATTGATAATTTGTGTTGCGATTTAAATAAAGTTTATTACGCTCTAGGCTCCTCTTGTTCCTAAACGAAAGAGGAGGACAAGTGTTTGAAATTGTTTATTTGCAAAATAAAGTGTCACTTATTTATCCATATGGTAATTAACTCACTTGATTTGCATGTGTGATCGAACAATGGAATTAATTTTATGGCCGGTGTGACTTAAGACTATTAGTTATTTAATGAATGGACTTGATCTTAAATATCAATCATGTATATTTCTTTCTTTTACTTCAATTTTTCATCGTTGATCAGTTCTTAGAACTCGCTTGATACTTGACTAACTTGATGTTTGATGTATTATATATTTTAAAGAGATTATGTGTTGGTGAATTATTGAGAATTATAATTTTTAATGATTTAATTTTTTTTCAATGGTTTTAATAATTTATTTTTTGAAATTACTTAATTGAAGAATTTTATTGAAATATATAGTTCAATCCCGATCTATGATCAGATGTAAAGATGATAATAGGGATATAATAGTGAATGAGTAAGTTAAATTTTAATCTTTAACATGTGAAATGAACAATAAATAACAAAAGGAAAATAATTACAGTATATCCCTGAAATCCCCAAACACCTTGAAAAGGGCACCAATCCATCTATCGAAGAAGCCAATTCTAATGTTACTGCATGAATAGTGATGAACGGAGACATCATCACTAATAACTTTTGCTGGTCCCTAAAGGAGTTGTATTATCTTCACCACACACGTCCCAATATAAAGAAGCATGTTGTTTTCAATGGGCATTCCCTTCATTGCCCATTCCTCACTCTTCTCCTTCTATAAACGTTTTCCAATTACCATCGTTGGACTTCAAGTGCCAAAATTTCTCCAAAAAATGGATCAAAAGAAGCCTTATCTTACTGTTATTCTCATACAATCTATTTATGCTGGCATGTTCTTGCTCTCCAAGGCTGCATTCGATGGCGGTATGAACAATTTTGTGTTTGTATTTTACAGACAAGCTGCAGCAACAGTGTTCTTGGTCCCTCTTGCCTTCTTTTTTGAATGGTGAATTTCTCAATTGGACTTGAATTTTATGCCGTGGTGTTTGGTCAATTTTCTTTGAAAAATGTTCAACAAATAAATATATCCAGCTTATTTATTGTTTTCTTTCCAAACTCAAGGAAAACTGCGCCGCCTCTATCATTCGTGACCTTCTGCAAGATTTTTATGCTATCTTTAATCGGGTAAGTCTAGTTGAAATCACTTGTTGAGTTAACCTATTGGAGCCATCACACTCAAAGTCATCATGAAGCTTTGGAGTTTCAATTTAACTGGTTTCTTGTTTTGGGAAATTTTCAATTTCAGGATAACTTTAAGCTTGGATATCTATGGCGTCGCCCTGGTTTATACCTCTGCAACTTTAGCTGCTGCAACAACAAATTGCCTGCCTGTTATCACTTTTTTCTTGGCAGTGTTACTCAGGTAATTATTAGTTCTAGCCCTTGATATGTTCCCAATTATATCCATTCCTTTCCCTTCTTTAGGTTGTGATGAATGATTCGTAACTTCCTTTGTATTTTTTTTACATAAAAAATTTTGAGTTACTTTTTCATCTTATAACTTTCATTCTTCCTATTCTAAGATTAGAATGGTAGAGTTTCTAAATCAAGCTATCACTTCATAAAGAGAATTTTCATGGTTTAATTAGCATGATATTATTTGTGAATGTTACCAATTACTAAACATCCAGAAGCAAAAATACTATGATTTTAATTAATTAATTAGTTTGTTGGTTGGCTTCCTAGTAGAGAAGCCCCATTGCGACTTTAATTTTGTCAAAGGAAATGATGTTAGCATGAGACATGGAATATCAGTGTAGGCTTTTTTGATGTTTCAAGTTTCATATCTATATATGTTGCCAAATTATGCATTGATTGATCACTATTCACTCATATTCTATAACAATTTTATTTGAAATAATTTTAAAAGAAAGAACTTTCCATTTTATACATTAGCTCATGTTAGAATAAGTACCATATTACATGCTTTCATTTAACTTACTTTAAAAAAAAATTAATACTCTCTATGTTTTATTTTCTTCGTCCAACATTTCTTTTTTTGATTGTTTTTAAATTATGACTCTTTTAAACAATTAAATCTCTTTTTTTTTTATATTCTAAAATTATTTTTCATGATTTTTTTACATTAAAAATTATGAAATATCATATTTATAAAAAAAATTAAAAATTCAATATATGCACAAACAAAAGGTTTTTTTTTTTTTTTTTAATTTTGTGCAAGTTAATGTTGGACTAATAATTTGAAACGAAAAAAGTACTATTTAATAATATTTTAAAATTGATTTTATATATTTTCTTATTTTAATTTTAAGATAATAATAATGCCACTTGACAGACAATTCATTGATTCATTAATTAGACCACAAAGAAAATTATATATGATTTAATAATTTTAGTCATTCTCTTTGAAATGTCTTCCTTGATAACATTTGATTAATTAAAAATTAATAGAAGGTTGCTTCATAGGAAATGATGTTTTTGTTGCAATTGCTCTTGTCTAAAAAATTTGGTCGGTGGAAAGAGATCCATTATCATTATGCTAAGGAACAATTCGCGCTTTTTATTAGCCCCATGTAGGAATGGTTTAATAGTATTTTATTTTATATATATTGCTATCTGCTTGATTTTCGATCTCTTTGCTTTCTAAGAAAAGATAAAAAGAATATTTTTATTTTTTAAATTAATTTTTATTTATTTTTATATTCAATCTGAAATCATTAAATTTTAATCATAAATTTAATTTAAAATGTATTATTCACCTCTAAATAGAGTAATGAAAACTTTCATTAATTTTGAAGTAATGAAGAAAATATTTTCCCTTAATTGAATCCCCCTCTAAATCCTGCTAGTATCAAATGAAAAAAGGAGAAAATTTTTATTAAAAGAGAAATAAAAAAAGGAAAGTACAACATGTTTAAGTACCATCCATCCCCAAACCTTTGATACAAATTTTTAATCAATTATTTTCCATAAAATTAAAAAAAAAAAACCATTGATATATATATATATATATATATGATCAATCTGGTATACGCAACAATCCTCCGTAATGTTCTTAGAAATCCTTGGATTAATTAAACCTTCTATTTTATGTCCAAAAAAAAAAATCCTTGCTCAATCCAAGGTTTTGTTTCTTCTCTTTCTTATTCCCTGGTTAGTTAAGTTATTCCTTTCAATCAAAATCAAAAAAAAGAGACATAGGGTCCCATGGTAATGACGTAGTCAAAGAACAATGCCAATACGTAATAAATTCAGAAACATCTAACACTATCACTCAGTGCTTGCAACATAGGTAGACTACAAAAAAATTTCCAACACGTGCTCGGATATAGAGTCAAATGCTCCTTGATTTAGCAATGTCATTTTAACTCTTTATACCATAATTTATAAAAAGAAAAAAACAACAATATTTTATATGTTTGGCTTTTTCATCTATCTTTCTTCTCAATGAATATCAGATTTTTCATAGAATCAAACGACTGAATTTGTCGTGAAGCACATTTTCTTTTGATTTTTTTTCTCTGGTCGTTTTCCCAAGTAACCGAACTTTTATTTGAAGTTAATTTTCTTAGAAACATATTAGTTAACACTTTAATTTAAAAATCTTAAAAGAGTGTCTTTACCAGTTATAATATTTGGATCTTTAAAATTAAAATAAAGAATTTGTCGAATACTATACGCGTGTTAGACAAGGGTAGATGACCAGTGTAGCTCTGAATCCTGATATATACTGCATGGGGAAGATCTTATGATTTTTGGGCAAAAGATATATGGTCTCCAAGCAATGGAGTTTGCTTAATGACAGAACCTGAACTATCAATCATTGGACCACTTAGTTGATGAAAATCAAGCGTCTGTACATAATGTCAAGCCTGAATCTGTTCTCAACTAATTAACGTCCCACTAATTTTGGAGCTACATGTATTTGTAACCTTCCCCACAATGTCTCTTGGGAGAACCAAGTGAAAAAAGTCAAGTCAGAAAGTTTAGCAATTCTTGTCTCTTGCGTCTCATTTCCATAGTATTTAATTCGGAGCACATGATTTTCAGTTGATGTAATTGATAAATTGTAAATTACAGTTATGGTTGGAATGTCCAATGTACTTGTATTTTTTTGACGGTCTTAGCTTCTGTTTTTATTCATCAAATTGACTAAAACGATGAAATTCATATGGCAGGATGGAGGTGTTGAGATTGAAGACAACCGCTGGGATTGCAAAAATTCTAGGTATAATAATTTGCTTGGCCGGTGCATTGACCCTTGCCTTTTACAAGGGTCCCCATAAGAAACTTTTCTGCCTCCATCACCTGTTCGAGCACCAACATAGCCAAACACTTCGGAACCGAACTTCCTCAGGCGAGACATGGATAAAGGGTTGTTTCCTCATGGTGATTTCCAACACGTGTTGGGGCTTATGGCTTGTATTACAGGTAGGCATATACCCTAATCAAGTCGTGCTATAATATAATTGTACTTACATTAGGACAATTAAAAGCATATCTGTTGTGAAACAGGGTCGGGTTTTGAAGAGCTACCCTTCGAAACTTCTCTTTACAGCTCTTCAGTGCATCTTAAGCACAATCCAATCATTTGCTATTGCTATTGCTCTGGAAAGAGACCCTTCTGAATGGAGACTAGGCTGGAATGTTAGACTCCTTGCAGTAGCTTACTGTGTAAACATCTACGCTCTTGACTCTTGTTATTCACTTAAAACATATATGTATATATATACTTGTGTATTGATGAATTATTTGGTACTATTGTGGCAGGGGATAGCGGTGACAGGCGTGACATTTTACCTACAAGCATGGGTTATTGAGAAGAAGGGGCCAGTTTTCTTGGCCATGTCAACACCATTGAATCTGATCTTCACAATATTCTGTTCTGCATTTCTCTTATGCGAGATTATTAGTTTGGGAAGGTAAGTTTAGTTTTGATTATGAGTTTAAACCATCTTTCTGAAATTTGATTTCATATTACTTAATAAACTCAGTTTCTTATGGTTTTCTACACGCAGTCTCTTGGGGGGGCTTCTACTGATTGGTGGGCTACATAGTGTGTTGTGGGGAAAAACCAGAGAGCAAAGAATGTTGGATGAAAATTGTTTACCAACTCATGTCGACAAAGAATGCACAGAGTTGAAACCTGTGACAGCCCGATCCCATCATTAGTTGTTGAGATCATGGAAGATCAAGAAAGTGAGATCGAACACTCCTAATCAAATCAGTCAAAGAAAATGCCCCTTTTCCACTTCTTCATGAGATCAGTAGACAACCCCTTGCGTCATCTTCTTCGGAATTCCGATAGGTCATGTAGATTGACATAGGTCTGAAATGGAATATGTAATTCTATTGACATATATATAAAACCAAAATGGGTTTTTTTTTTTAAACTCTCGTGTCTCAAAATTAAAATGCAATATGATCATATTATTTTGAAGTAAAATTTTAAAATAATATGAATTTTTTTTTAATTATTTTAAAAATTTTTAATAAAATAATATGTTTAAGCAAAATCCATAACTATAATATTTGGGATTAAATGCATCAAGACAAATTTTCAAACATTATAAACCATAAATAATTGTTTTAAAATTTTAAAATTTCATTTCATTCAACTCCAATATTCTATACTACTTTTAATTTTAATAATATACAGTCATATTTCGATCTTAACCCATGATGATTAAGGATTCATGTAACAATCAATAAATAACTTCAAATTTTTGTTAAATCAAATGTCTTTTCTTAACCCATAAAACCTCTAAATGATCAAATCATTATTTATTTATAATCTTTTAACTCATAAAATATATCTCATTATAATTCATATAAAAAATCTCTTCAACTTATAAAATCGTATTTTATTAAAGTAATTAGATTTTCTCTTAAATACAAAATCTCAAAAGTAATATGTAATTATCAACTAAAATAATTATTCCAAAAATTTATTTAATTATTGATTTCTAAAGATTTTCCAATGAAATAAACAAATAATATTTCGTAGGTTAAGTGCAAATATTTACAAATAGTATAAGAACGGTTATTAGTTAGATGAAAATTAAGTGTTATATCGTGAGAACCACTTCTAAAATCTTGTAATAGTTAAATGTTATGCGATGAGAATTACTTTTAAAATTTCAATGTCTGATATGATCCTATAATCTATATGTATTTTGTGTTGGACTTGCTCAATGTTTAGTGTGATTTCATGGATCTGTATTTTTTATATTGTGCTTGACGGAAATGTCAAGTTTTAACAAAAAAAGTTTGTGATACTCCAATTCCATATGGGGATAATATAAGGTTTTGCTATAATATATATACATATTTAAATTTAAATTTATGAGGTATTTTTTGTGAAATAAAATCATGAAACATTTTAATTAAAAACAATAAAATCGTGAAGTTTCGAATAAAAAATAAATAATATATCGCAAGTTGAATGCAAGTCTCCCTAACATCGCCAATTGGAGTGTTCACCGTCGGCATGGTTTTATATTTTGGTTATTTTATGTATGTTAGGAGGCTAAATTTCATTTCCAAAATGCTGCCTCCATTAATTGTAAGTTGCCAATTGATGTTGCCAATGGGCAATTTTTAGCATGAATTTATTGTACAAACATTTGCAAATATATATATATATATAAAGAATAATACTCAAATAAATTCTCAAACTTTACTAAAGAGAATTAAAGAATTGATCTCTTATTGTATGAAATTAAAATAAACTTTTATTTTCTTATAATTAGAATATTGAAAATATAAAATATAAAATATAAAATATTTCATTGAATTCTTTGTGGTTGGCTAGTTTATGTAATTTATAGAAAACATTAATTACTTGGATTTATTAGGATAATTAGTTGGCTGAAGTAATAATTTCGGTAATTGCACTTAATTCACCAACTTTTTATATATAATGAGTATAATTACAATGAAATAATAGTTCAAAATTTTAATTTCATCAATGTAATAAAAAATTTAAAGTTCATATTCGTTTTTTTAATTCAAGCGCTTATTTTGGTATATATTATCCCTCATAAAAAAATTTCTAAAATATGCTAATAGTTAGTGTTAGCCCGCCTGGCAGCCAAAATCCCAAGAAAGGCCCATTGGCCAACAACAACCCAAAACTATATGCAGCTTTCCTTGCTCACCCATTCGATTTAGAGATCTCAAGTTAGAATTTTGAGATGAGCAAGATGGGGGATGTATGTGGCAGCAGAGGACAGCCTCTTATTGTAGCCAATGTCAAATGTACCGAAAAGATTATTTGTTTGGATAATTGGATAATTTTGGTAGTAAAAAGATTACTTAAAAATAAAGTTAAAAATTAATAAAAATAAGTTCAATTTTTTGTTTAAGTTAATATTATTTGCATATACCTTAAACTCTTTTTTGTTTAGAAAAATACAGTAAATAAATATGAAATTAAGTTATAATAAGCTTTGAATAGGAAGGTAGCCGGTCAAGCAATTAGTTCACTGGTTGGACGCCTTGAAATGCTCGTGTACTTACTTCTATGCATAAATCATTCGTAAATTACCATCATAGAAGGAATTGAAGACAATATATGTATACATATATATATATATATAATTAATTTACTTATAAAACTTACCATTTCTTTGTCTAAAAATTAGGAACATGTAAGATTTGGCATCACTGATTCTACTTATGGCCATTAAAACAAATTAATATCTTAATTTTATGAATAAAAAATCAGAATCTTTGATTTGTACCCATAATAATAATAATCATAATAAATGAATGAAGACCTAATTAATTTCTCCTTTATAAAACTCAAAAGGAATTCCATTATGCTTCTTTCTATTGCCTTGACAATATAGTCCGGAGAAACTATTGAAAGCCTGAGGTAAATTTCTTTTGTGCTTTGTTGCACTGTTTTCTTGCTACGCATTTTTTTCCTTTATTATTCTTCTATTCTCCTGATTATTATTGTGTTTGTAACAATTACTTTGATTCTTGCTTGTCAATTTTTGTAGCAGATGCAAAAAATGTTCAATGCATTTGAGTAAATTTTTACTTAAAAGTTTGTTTCCTTTCTTCCTGTGATTTTCAGAGTTGCTTTATGAACAATATATAAAATTTTTATGTGCTTGCATTTGATGTCCTAAACTTTTTTTTTCTGTTCGATTTAAAGATCTTCAAAAATGGGTCGTGGAAAATTAACCATGAAATTCATAACGAAGGATAAGGTTCGTGTCTCAACCTATCAAAAGCGAAAAAATGGTTTGACAAAGAAAGCTCAAGAATTCTCAATTCTTTGTGGTGTTGAGACGTGTATAATTATTTACGGGCCCCAATTGAAAGATAGTCCTGCTAAACTTGAGATTTGGCCTTCAGATCCTATCAAAGTGTTGAATGTCATTAACAAATATAAGGCAAAGCCTTTGGAAGTACGTGAAAGGAAATGCTTTAATGTATTTGATTTTTTTGCACTACGTCAAAAGAAGCTGGATGATGAGATTTTCAAATTGCGAAAAGCTAATATAGATGCCAAGTTTTCTACATGGGATGACCGTATCAACAATTTCTCGGTCAATCAAATTTGGGCACTTCTTGCTAGATTCGACTCAAACCTGGAAGCTGCAAATAAGAAGATCAAGATGATAAAGGGAAAGTATCAAACTTTGGTTGAAGATTCAAAATCAGGTATGTTGGCTGGTCCTGGTACCGAAGCAATCCAACCAAGAGTTAATCTTTTTAGTCAAGCTCGAACCTGCTTGTTTCAAAAGAATTTGGACCTAGAAGTCACAAGCCGGCAACAACCTATGTCAGGACTAAATCCATTTAACGTGAATATGCCTTCTTATTACCCTTTTGGCTCCAGCGAGGCCCTCCGAATGCATCCCTTCAGTCTAAATCCTACAGATAATTCGATGACATTGCTGTCCAGAAATGGTTCGGATTTCACTCAAATGGATGGAGAGTCTAGTAGCAGCATAACATATAGTTCACTTTCACCACAGGCTCGTTATGATCCAGGAGCTCCAATGCTTGACAATGTAATGTTCAGTAACCCCTGGGGAGTTTGCTTCTACGATCCATTTATGCAGCCAATGACACCCTTTGGCCAGTCTGCAATGCCAAGCTTTCCATCTCAGACTGACAAGTTTTATCGTGACATCGGAGATCAGTACGGATCAAAGAGCAAGAAACAAAAGTAGACGGTTTGAACTTTTGGAGTAGAGTGGTAATTAATTTGAGATAATGTTCCAAACACTCATGTCATGTATTCATTTCACGCATTCACTTTTTATTTTAGAGACTTAAAATCAAAGTATGAAAATTTTTATAGACAAATAAAATTTTAAAAACTTATACATTACGTGAATAAGTGAAATGAATGTATTATATTAGTATATATATATATATATATATATTTTCCCTTATTTTAAAGATTACCTTAAACTCAATTAGTTGTTTAAGCTTAGGCTTTGTTTTGGTCTTTTCCTTTTGGTTCTTCATTAGTTTGTTTTCTTCTTGTTTTACATAAGATTCTTTCTTAATTTAGGGTTTAATTTTTGTTTTATGTAGTATGATTAGTTTGGGAATGTTTAATTTGGGATATATATTTACATGCCTGCTAGCATCAAGGAAAAAAAGTAATTATCGTTAGATCATATCCTAATCTTACAAAGGACAAGATTTAGGTAAAATTGACGTAAAGTTGATGAAAATTTCCCCTTAATAAAAACTAAATAAAATTAAAATTGAGTCAAAATCAATAGGTCAATAGAATTCAATGAAAGTATTATAATATATAAAGAATTAATGAAAAAAAAAAGGTAATAACATCTATATATGAAACGCAATTTGGAAGAAAGAGTGAACATCAGATAATTTATTTTAATAAACTATTTAATCGTTTTAGATTATTTAAATTTTGTATAATTAATTTATACATTTAATAAGATCTATCAATCTATGACTTGATTTTCAATTTCAAATTTAATTTTCATTTAATCACAAATTTTTTGGTATTTCCATTTAATGGTTATTAAGAGAAAACTTCACAAACTTTTTTTCTCAGCGAAAATTGGATTTATTAAACAAAAGAATCATTACGAAACAGTTTATTCCAACCAGGGAAAAAGCTTTTAAAACAAATCACTCAATGCACCCCAAAACAGAACATCAAAACACCCAACTACAGCCAAGCTTGAAAGAAAACACAGTAGTCCACTCGCACTTTTGCTAAAGAATCGGTGAATGAATTAGCCTCCCAATAGATGTGGACAAAGTTTATCTCACCATGAGTTCCTTTATTCTATCAATTTCCCCAAATAACTTCAACAGCTTCCAAGGTATCTTATAGTTGTTATAAACCCATCTAACCACAATCTTAGAGTCTGATTCCATGATTAAATCACTTCGAAAAGATTGAATCATTCTGTACCAAAAAGATAATTGATTTTTTTTACAATCATATCATTTTTTTAAATACTATCATAATATATAGATCCAAAAATCTATAACTAAACTTAATAAATGGAGTCATCACTAATCTTTTTTTAACTAATTGTGATTGGTCACCTAAGAAATCTATCCTCTTAAGGAGTTCCTAAGCTTGACTAAGGATCCCTAAAAGAATAAGTTTGGATTACAAACTAGAATAAGATTCGTGAGTTCAGTTACATATGAAGAAGGTTATAGCACTCTATACACTCATCGGAGGATGATACTATATTATTTTAAATTTATCTTAAGGTTTTGATTCTAATTATCTTAAATTTTTATGTTCAAATATTAGAAATAATTCTTAAGATTTTCATTCAATCTAGTAAAACTCTTAAAAAATATTTTTTCACCTCAAGAGTATTCAAAAATCCATTTTGTTTTCTTGAAGAGGCTTCGTCATTAGTAAGTTTTTTTAGTTTTATTTTTTATTTTTGTCAAAAATATATTTAATTATTCCACAATTTGGATTAAATTAGAAATATTTTCTCTTATTGAATTTCTAAATTCTCCACCATTTTGGTCTATTTAGAAATTTTTTTTATTTTTTTATTTTTAAATTTTTCACGTCAATTTAGAAATATTTTCTTTTTCGAAATTTTTAAATTTTTCACAATTTGGGCCTATTTAGAAATTCTTTTTCGCTTTTTTTCGGAAGAAAAATAATATGACAATTATTTTTTTTATGAAATTTTATTTAAATTCTTCTACTATTTGGGACAATTTTAAAGAAATTTCTCAACTAGAGATTTCTTAGGAATTTACTATTTGAAATTTCTAAGAATCTCATCATTGGATAATTATCAAATATTTTCAACCAAAAATTTTATTTCTTTTATTTCTTCTTTTTTTTGTTTGAAAATAAATATTAATTATTGTTATTAAAATTTTATCTAAATTATTCCACCATTTGGGATAAATTTATAAAAAACTTCTCACCTAAGAATTTTATAAAAATTTACCAATTGAAATTTCTAAAAATTTCATCATTAGATAATTAATACTTATTTTAAAAAATATATTTTATTTTTTAAAAATTTAATCATGAAAAAATACTGAGAAAAAAAACACATAAATAAAAAATAAATTTAAATTTAAAAAAGTATCAAAAAATACAAAAAAAATGAAACGACTCAACTGGAGGGTTCAACACGGCTTAATGACTTGGCTCAGGAACTCGATTTGGCTCGACTCGGCTAAAGGGGTTTGGTTGGCGCGCAAGTTGACGAAACGGGTTGCATTCAAATCGGATCACCCGAATAGAAACACGTGGATCTTGGGAAGTTACTTAATGTCAAAACGACATCGTCTCAGAGCGCTATAAAAGATCAAATTTTAGCTTTTCTGCTTCAGATCTCCCTTTCCCCCTCTCTTTCTCTTTCTTTTTTTTTTCTCTCTCTCTATAAATCGAAAAACTCTAGTTGAATTTTCATCAGATTTTAAAGAAAGTCGTCAAAATCTGAGTTGGTTCGTCGAAAAGTTCATCGAAAAATTAAATCGACATTGAAATCTTCCACCAGATTCTGGAAAACTTGCTAAAAAATTCAATCGGTGCCGAAAAGTTCACCGAAAAATTCAACCGACGTAAAAAAATTCATCAAAAACTGAAAAATTTCATTGAAATCTAGGAATTTTTTAGATTTTTCTAGAAATCTTCAATTTTTTATTTGATTTTTGCTAACCTTTCTGCTTTCTGCCGTATATTTCTTTTCTGTGTGATCACCATGATCTCTATATTCTATATTCTGTGTCCTTTTCCTCGTATCCCTGATCTGTGTTGCTATGTATGTATTTATAGAGCTAAATTAGAAGAGTTTTTGATTAGTTATGAGTCCACCCTTGATTGGGTTTTCATATTAACAGAAACCTTAAGATTTATCCTACTTCAAGTTAAAATTAAGATGAACTCTACAACCACTAATTCAAGACAAAAATTAGGAAAATTGAAGATAAATTAGTATGAAACTAACGAAAAATCAAAAAACAAATAATAATCAATAAAAAGATAAACTCAAAAATAAATAAATAAATAATAGAATTTGTACTTGAAATTTGGATCATATTGAACCAAGCTCAATAGGCTTAGGCCCAAACCCTATTGAACTAGGCCCAATGAGCTTGGGTCTAGACCAATTAGAGTGTCTGAAAATACAAATTAAATATGGTATAAAATAATTATTATCATATCATATCCATCATCTTAAATACCAAAGATGATTTTAATTTATTAGTTATCTTTAATTTTTATTGTTTAATTATTTAAAAAAGATTTTTTTTCCCACAATATCAGCGTTCAATTATGCATTCCGAGCCTTTAATGTAAAGGAATAGGTAAAACAAGTAATAATAATACACGATCTTTGGTCTCATGATCTTCAACCCCATGGCCATCACCATGTTGATACATGCATTGGGCCATCCTTGCGACGTTCATTGCAATTTGGATAAACGTTTTAGAGAAGGGGGGATGATCAAATAGACCTTCATTCATTCTTTTCCATGTTGCATCAATTAACTTCCTTATGTGCTGACGGGCTTCTTCTTCAGAAGAGCCAGTTTCGTGCATGTAACATTGAATTGATTTTGGAACATCACCTCTTTTTAGTTCATCCTAATCAAACAAATGCCAACAAAAAGCATTAGATCAATCAATATATCTGAATCACATTCACAACCGGAAATCTTTCATGTAAGAAAACATTAACCAAGGAGTGTACATATGATTATATATTGCATACCGATGATGTCCCAAGATCGTTCGCTAGTCGTAAAATCATGGACGAGCAATAGATTATATTGCTGTGTTCCTTGAAGCTCTCCAACCACTCCTTTCTTGTTGAATTTGTGAAGATATAAGCATGTGATAGTAGTACGGGAGCCGAAATCGAAATCCATGCATTATCGATATACTCTTTAAAGGTTGGTTTGTATCCACTATAATACCACTTTGCCTCCACTAAGTAAGTTTTGCATAGCTCTGCCCACTGAACAAATATAATTGTAATTTAAAACATAAAGGAATCGATGAAACAAAACTAACTTAGATCTAGTAAAGAGTTTTGATTACTACCGTTTTCTTCAAGAAAGGAATGGTATTAAATCCTTGTTCCTTAAGAGTATCAAAAGCCATTTCGTTTATGGAGTTGTAAAGAGCAAGGAAACATATCTTCATACATTCTGGGAGCTGCTCCATCGCATTGACATCCCATCTGAAATTAGAACATTATAATAATAATAGTATGTCACTTAAATTCTGGTGCCAAAAAATATTAAATATATAGTAGTATTACTATTATCTACATTGGTTAACAAATTTTGGATTTTTTTTATTCTTTTTTTTATGTTTGTTAACAACTGTTAAAAAAAACGATATCCAACAGACAGCTCATTGGAATGTTTTGCCAGAGATTAAGGCAAAATCATCAAACCAAAACAATAACATTAAGAAAGGAGAAAATGGTTGAAAACAAAGGTAACATGCTTTGTTTTGTAATCAAAGTTTCACTAGTACTTACTGAAACTTTGTTTGATTTTGTTTCTGGTCACAATCCGAAACACCAGATATTTTTTGCTCCTTACGATTGTACATTTGTAAGCAAAAAAGTTAAAAAGTACTTCTTTCCATTGGTCATTTTCAACCTCCATCACTAGCACAACAGATCGTGTTGTACAAGTCTGCTACAATCCCACATGCTATGTTGGTTAATAAATTGCAGCTGATATCTTTTGTTTCGGTTGTGTAAAGTAAGCCAACATGTGAGAGAGAGTGATGAGGGTATCATTGGTCTCGATCTTCGATACGAAGGTATTTTTATAAATAAAAAAAAGAAATTAAAGGTAAAAGTAGGAGATTTTTTGCATTTGTATTTAGTTATGTAAGTCAATAAATATCATATTAAAAAGAAAGTAAGAAGGATTGAGAGAAAAGTAAATGAGATGAATTATTTTTATAATATTTGAGTTTTCATATTTATAGATAAATTAAAAAAATTATAAAGGAACAATTAAAACAAAATTAAGTTGAGGTAGCACTGATCTTATTAGGTCAGCACAAATGAAAAAAAATATTTTTAATTATTTATTGAAAGCTTTAAGAGGAAAAAAAATTATAGTATCTTTTTTACCATTAAATATCTCTAATAAGAATTTTCATTATTAATTTTTGGATTTCCTATATTCATTTATTATTAAAATTTAATTAAAGTCAAAGTCCAATAGTGTATATATATATATACCAACCTCTCAACAGCTTCCGTGAAGAGCTCCAACTCATCCAAGGTGCCATACACATCATAAACATCATCTATGGTAGTTATTAATGAGTTAAGCTTTGCCAGAATTCTTCTTGCTTTCCCAGAGTGAGGATCAGGTGCAACGCCCACAGTCCACAAAAAGTTCTCCATTAACCTGTCTCTAGCAAAGCTTAGCTTTTCTCCGAGACCTATATTCCTCCACCACCTGCAGTAGGTTTTATGGAGCAAAGTTTGAAGTTAGGATTTTTATTCAAACTCAAGAGTTTTTGTATGAGACAAAAAAAAAAAAGTTTCCTAATCAGTGCAAAAGCCAAAGAAAGCTAGAATCTCATGTACTTATCAGAAGATGGAAGGTATTGGACAGCTGGTGGTTTGTATGGCTGTGTTTTGTGCATAGCTTCGGTGTGGATATTTTGAGCAATAAAAATAGAATATATATATTTGATGTAATATCTGTGTTAAAATTTATATATTATCAATAAATTAAATGATATTATTTTATTAATAAATTTTTATTTTTAATTTAAATTTTATGTATTTATTTTAAAGATTTGTAAATATTTATTTTTATCATTAATGAGATAATATTATCTAATTCACTAATGATACATTAAATATGAATTCAGAAAAATATCAGACTCCCAGCTCTATCCAAATTAATTCAAACACTCCTACTTTGCTGCATGACGATTATGCTTTAAAAAATCAAAACAAAATATCTTGAAAATTTAAGTCACTAAATAGATAATTACTCTAAAACTTAAACATATTCATGCACTTACATTGAAGCATGTCTTAGATCATCCTGGTGCACAGCTTGCACAATATTGAAGTCTAATTTGGCAAGCTCCAAAAGAAAGGGGTTTCTGTCCTCTCTTTCCTCATACACATCTATAAACCACCAGGCTTCCAACCTTAAAATCCTCCATTGTAGCGGAAGTTCCAAAGCATGTTCCACAAGCGTGGCAAGATATTGATCTGAGTTCTCCTGCTTCAGATATTGCTGGAGATGTTTAGTTGCGAAATCTCTTGCATTGTCCATGATGTCTTCACCCTCTACCGAAAAATATGAGGCATCATACAAGTTAAGCAGTCCTTTGCAGTCCTCACAAAGACCTGCCTTGAAGTTCCCCATCTCGCCCATGAAACTAGAGAAAACCTCTGCACGTATGACAACATTTTCATTATTTTTATTATGACTATTTTTATACAATTTCTACACTTTTTACCTTGAGATACTTTATAACCGTGCTGCCTTAGGAGCCTAAACTCAAGTGCTGTAGCATATAAATTGTCTTTCTTCCAGGAAACCTTGCTCTGATCTGCCATTATACTCTCCAAAATCCTCTTGGTTTCCTTCTCAAAGTGATAAGATAATCCAAGCCTCTGCAAGGTGTCGACTAGTTCGAGTTTCTCCAAAGGATCCATCACTTTGTCAAGCATCATTCTCACTTCCCCCACAAGTCTGATAGCTCGCTCATTATATGATTCGCCCTAAGAAGATTGCATAAAATTTAATCTTATAATTAAAAAGCTATTGGGATTTTAACTACTTATTACAAGAAAAAAAAAATGTATATTATACCAGATAGTCGCTCTTGAGAGACTGAATATAATCGTACTTCCAAATGGGAGGACGGTAATTAGCAGATCGTCTAACAATTTTTTGATCTGAAACATTGGCTGTAGCAACAAATTTGGTGGCTGGGACTCGAACAACACTGAAACTGTTGAGGTTTGATTCTTTGTCCGAGATGCCTTTGGTATACCTTCTGATGAGACTGCTGCAAGGAACGGAAGCAAGGAGAGAAAGAGCCATGGTGAAATTAAAGCTCCACTTAGCCAGTACAAAAGATATTTAAGTTTGGCCTAGTTTCCGGCATATGTTCAATGCTTTAATTTTTCTATTTATACTTAAGTGGTCGACATTGAAAAATTATAGAAAAAAAAAAGGGGGTTTATAATTTTAATCAGTAAAAATTTTATTACTTGATTATAGACCGATGATACTCTAGTTTTTTTATTTATTTCATTTGCTTCATTTAGACACTTTTTTCTGCCCACCTTATATCATTTACATAGAGATATTAATCTTATCCATATTTAAATAAGAATCCAATTTTTTATCCGAATAAAAATAAGGATGAGTATTATATTATAAGTACAGAAATGATGGTGGATACGATTTTAAATTTTTACTAGGTATGAAGATGGAGATGGTTATAGTAATTACCTCGTACTCGTACTCTTTATATATTTATATATATTTAATAAATAGTTTTTTATTAAATAATATAAATTAATATTTAAGGTTAGTTAGAATTAATATATTTTATTGAAAAAATTTATGTTAATAAAAAATTACTTAAATATACAAGATAAAAATAAAAAATATTTAAAAAATAAATTTTAGTTTTTATTTTTCTTAAAAGTTACAAGCATAAAAATTATAAATACCTATTAAATACTCACAAGAATAGTGATGGAGATAAATTTAAAATATCCGTTGAATATAGGTATGAAAATGTGTATAATATAAAAATTCGATAATAAAAATGAAAAATGTTTTACCCTACCTCTACCCCACCCAATGACATCCATATATTTACACACTCATTTGCATCACTTTCTATTGTTGCTTTCAATCATTCACTCATACATGATACACAAAACACCTTTTTTTTTTATAATTTTTCAATGTCGGCTAAAAAATTTATCCCTTAGATTAGACCTTTGAAAGGAAAATGGATAAAGAAATAAATGAGTGGGTGGATCTCACTTCTCTTATCGTTTTAATTTAGGTTGGGGGATTAAGTCATGGAGAAAAAGAGAGACTAAAGATGAAGAATAAAGAACAAAGAGATGAAAGAAGGTACCTTGCCGATTGATTTTGTGGTTGATCAAATTGGATTGTTACGTCAGTTTGCTTGACTTGCTTAAATATTATTTTTCTTCATTTTAAAGTATTTTATTTGTTTATTTTTAATGTAAAAAAAGAGTTTAATCTAGTTTGAAAAGAACAAATGATAATGGATTTTATTTATCTTCATTAGGATTTTTATTTTAATTTTGTGAAATAAATTATCAAGAGTTTCAGGTTTATATCTAAGGCAAACATAGACCAAGAGAGCTTCATTTCCTTTTTAATTGATTACAAACATTTCTAAATCATATTTACATTATAATTTAAATGTGTGTTTTTTTTTTATTATTTACAATACTTTTATTTTTATTTTTATGAATTTCATTGTAAATATTATGCATTTAGTAACCTGCGCAGCATAACGCGCCTTAAACACTCGTACAATATTAAAGGACGCCTAATTGTCGGTAACTCTTTGTCAAAGAATACAGTTTGGAGATAAAAATCTAAAAAAAAAAAAAAGGAAAGAAAAATAAATAAGAAAAACCAAGAAAATTTTAAGGAGAGGACTTACTGCAATTTTTCATGACTAGTTCAATGCCTAAGTGGAGCTCATGAATTCTCTCTGGATTTTGAGTTTTAGATCTTTTTATTATTTAGCCCAAATACACTATTGGTTTCTGAATTCATCTTTTCAGACTGTTTTTGGGGGCCCATTTTTTTTTTTTTGGGTTTTATTAGCTTTATGGCACAAAATAAACAAAAATAAAATGAATGTAGAAGAAATAAAGTAAGTGACATAAAGACAACTTAAATGAAAATTCAATATAATCAACAAGGCTTTTTACACAACAAATTAACATCATTAAAAGCTTGATCATTAGTGCTGTGTCTATCGAGCAAATGCAATTTTTTTTTTATACATAGAGAAACAAGATTCAAATTTATTTTTTTGGGCAAAAGATAATAAGATTATTATTTAGGATTAGATTGGCTTGCTTGTTTTGCAAATTTTATTGGCATTATGAAATGAACTAATGATAACTTCCACAGCTTCAGACTCCCTTTGACATTCTATAATTGCTGCTTACACTGAGCCTATCGTTATTAGCACTGAGCCTAAGATGCTGTTACATATAAAATACAAAAAGTTATCTAGATAATTAATAGAAAATTGGAAATTGTAAACAAATCGAGCTTAAAACCTTCCTATATTCAGCCTTTTGTTTAAGAAGAGAAATATCCGACCGTCGCTACTTATACGAGAATCCAACAATAAACCTTAGTCCTGTACGAACCAATACCCCTCTTGGAACAAGTTAACCCAGGAGGATTTTAACAAAAGAAAATGATAGCAATGTATATGTATGTAGCAAATTGACCATAATTATTCTGTTTAAAAGAATATAGGAGGAAGTTAGCCACCCACTAAGAGTGATCAGTTGGAAGGCCATGATGATCCTGTTGGACTGCCGTTTGGGAAGTTTGAATATATATGCTCATCTCGATCTCTGTTGTCTCTTAGTTTTGTCTTTATTATTGTCTTAATTTCGGCTCTATCAGAGATTGCCTTGCTTGGATCACAACTTTGGTTGGTATCTTGAATGACTACATCCTCAGCTTCAGACTCCAGTGGCCATTCTTCAAGTGCTTTTTGTGCCGAAGTCGTATTCTCCTTGGCTTTTCCCCATGATACAACATATACCCCTCTAATTATCAGCACTGAACCTGAAATGTTGTTACATGAAAACATGTGAATTTAGATAAATAGAGACGCAAGGATAACGAAAATTGTGAAGAAATGCTGGATCAATCAACTTGAATTGGAGTTTAAATTTAACCTTCCTATATTTAGCCTCTCATTTAAGATCAAAGATCCAACAATGTCTACATATACTAGTGTTAAAGAGTTGAAGCTGGATACAAATAATGGCCCTCTCAACCGCAAGCACCAAATCATAAGAACAACCGTTAATGCTGTACCGATGACTCCCTTTAATTAGAAGACGAGTATAAGAGTTAAAAAGGGATTTTATCGAAGAAAAAAAAAAAGAAAAAGCTATGTTATTATTCGATGGAAGCTACCGTTTTTACCGTGTAAACAGCGTTAAGAAGCCTAATATTCCAGCCAAGCTTCCATGGAGACCAGTTCCTCTCAACAATTAAAGCATAAATTGTTGCCTGAAGTGATGCTGTGATGCACGTCAAAGCAGAAGTCCAATATATGAAAGGATAATGTTCACCCATCTTGGGCTGTGACAAACTATCCATGGCTACCCGTGATTAATATATTCCAAAGTAGTAAGGTGAATTTATTGGAAATAACTTACTAGAATTATATACCAAATTGCAAAAGATACGCAGGAACCCAGAGCCAGCAATGAACCTAACACTTGCTGACCAAGCATATCATGTTTCTTGTTTACATGACTATATTTGGCTAGGTTTATGTTGGTTGACCAAAGGTTAATCTCATGTCCTTTGTAAAATGTAAGAATCATTGCTCCACCTATGCTCAAGAAAGTGCCCACCATCTTGGCCTGTCCCGCTAATGTTCTGATTCCCAATCTCCCCAACCTGAAGAGTGGGAAGGAAAATCCACAAATTATTAAGAATTACTAAGTAATTAAAATCACAATATATTTGTTAATTTTATAGATTGATTGTATTTCCGTATACAATTTAATTCTTAAACTAATTGGACTGATTTTCTATTATACTTTATTAATTTGTTTTTTAAATAAAAATACTAAAATTGAAAATCTCCCATGAGATCTTAAAGAACCTTAAGATGACTGCGAAGATGAATGTAGCAATAGGAACTAGGTTGGACATGGCTGTAGCAAACGTTGCAGATGTTAAAGGATAAGCTTTCAATGAATAAATTCGGTGCCAGTGCTCCCCTGCAACAAAATTCAAACTTTATATATGACCTAGTTAGGATTAAATATTCTTATTGTAATATCCCAGCCCAAATAATAATTGGACTAGACTAATACTAAAGCTCATCAGTTTATTAAGACATTATTTAGTAAAAGAAAAAGGGCTAAAGTATTAGATGAAAGAAAACTTAACTATCCTGAAATAGAAAGGAAATAGAGTTCTTCTTCCTCATCTTCCTTAGGGTTAGAGAATATGAAAAATCAAGTTGGAGATTCACAATCAGAGGCTACAATCAAGTTAATCTCTTAAAAGTGAGTACATGCTCTCTTTTTGTTTAAAAAGAAATATCAAGTTCATTGCTATTATTTGGAGTTGAAGTTTTGAGAGCAAAACCAAGAAAAATCATGAAATCTTTCATTAATCTTCATGATCTATTTGGTTAAATTACTGGGCTTTGTTTATTTCATGTTCTTAAGATTTATTGATGATTATTTAATTGAGTTTGAAGGCTGAAAATAAGGATTTGAGTTTTTAAAGATTGAAGGAGAAATTATATTTTTGGATGAAATGTTGTGATCTGTAATAATGAATTAAAATAGAATTTTGTATTAATTGATAGATTATTGCTGTGATTATTATATATCATTGGAAAGCATTTTGAATCTAGTTTCTAATGAAACAAATGAAAGTCAAATCCAAGTTTTTATGAAGACTTGTCCAATTTTAACTTAAGGATATGCAGGCTGTAAGATAGCAGCATTATGGTTGAATTACGAAATTCTTCTTAATTTGTATACAAGGATTTACAGATTAAGCCATATATGTTTGGAAAGCTTATTGAGTCTACTTTCCAATGAAATAAGCGGAATTGAATTTGGAGTTTCTTGTGAATAAATATATAATTTTTATTAGAAGGTATACTGGCTGTTTGGCAGCAGTATATGACATGGATTTCAAAACTTTTTATAATTAATCTACAAGGAATTACGATGTGTGCCATATATGGTTAGAAAGCTTATCAAGTCTAGTTTTTAAAGCATTAAAGAGATCATAATTCTGATTTCTATATATTGAGATATGACTA